ACCAGGAACGGTTACTTCCCCGAGGCGAAGCTGAAGCATTTGCGGCACAGGGCCCTGGCGGATAGGAATAGGTGACATACACATTGGCATCCCGGGCAGTCAGCCTGTCCATGACACGCTGGGTGAGCCGGTCTTGGGTTTAGGGCGGAGCTCTTAAACGGGGTCCTTAAGGGCTTTGGTGGGATTATAATCGGGCTATAGTCCCTATTAAGGACTGTTAGTACAAGGGAACATCCCCAAGGTTGAGGGATTGAGGGATTTGGGGTGCATGGTGGCACCGATTCCAGCCTGATGGAACGCACCTCGATGGACAACCGCCAGAGCCTTGGCCCCCAAAAGCAGATCTTGCCAGATGCAAACGGTAGCCAGGGAACCACAACCAGCACCCAAGCATGAAGGTGGATGGCATATAGCTGCGCAGGATGATTCGCAACCACGCCGCCCTACACCCCAGACATCCCCAGACATCCACCCGGGCCCGATAGGACCCTCAACTTCGCTAGCCCTAAACTACAGTCTTCGTGGCTCTGGGTGAGCAGGCCTGAGGCCCACGGCAAGGAGGTTCGCCCCTGCTGCGACTGAAAAGCAAATTTGCAGAAAGTTTCAGTCGGCATCCGTCTCTGAAGCTTCGGAATGTGCTCAGTGCAGCCATATGGCGGATCCCACACTACCTGGCGCGCTTACAGTTTCTCGGCTTTGGTGGCCATATCTTGCCTGAAGCCCAGATATCTGCATCTCTGGGACGACCCGGCAGCAGGTCCTAACAGGAACTTCAAAGGTAATCCGAACACGAGGATGCTTCGCAAAACGGCACCGTCTTAGAGAGAAAGGAAAGCTGGAAGTGGCAGAAAGCAGCAGAGATGAACAAGGAGAGAAGTTCGCAGGGGAGAGTTCAGCACAATTGGCAAAGCATCGAGCGCCTTTGCTGCCCCTTGCGTTCATGAACAGGCTGGCAAGGCTGCAGTTACTGGATCCAAACCCGTTGCTTTACCTTTTGCACCCCCACAGTGCCCCCAGAATACACCCCCATTATGCCTGGTGTTGTCAATGGCCCTTTTTGGGGTTGGCTACTTTATAAGGGAACCTTAAACCCAAAAAAAAAAAGGAAAAAGGGTACCACTGAGCTACCAAGCCAACACCCAAGCACAACCTTGGAGTCCTACGGGAACATGTCTGGGACCCTGCAGACCGCGCCTCGCTACTCGAACTCCAGCTGAAGGCTGTGAGGCTGGCCTGCCAGGACACGCCTCCGGGGTTTGGATGCTCCTACCACCGCGACCACCGCCACAAATGATGGCACACCCCTACCAACTGACTCCAGCTGGGCTAGCGCCTGAAACTGTCACTCACTTCTCTCTTCGGTGCCAGAGCATAGTATCGCGGTGGCGCTATACACTGCAAAGCACCATCATGATGATCCCGGAACCAGCTGTCTTGCGCAAGAAGGTCGGACATCCCCAGAACTGAGCCTCTTCCGAGAGCTGGCAGTTGGCTACTCTCCACCTGACAAAGATGTCATGGGAGCAGGTTAGCATGGAGAGGGCTCAGGAGATCCCAAGCCGGGTGCATGTAATGTGTGCAACCACGCCTCGGCTCTCACCTCATCCGAGCCCCAGTCTCCTTCTGGCAGACATCGGGCAACCAAGCTCGACCTGCGTTGGCTTCGGGCTTTTGGGGTTTAAGTTTACGGTCCTCAGCGGCCAAGTGACAGTGGAACCTGAGATTGCTCCCGGTCGGGGCTCTGGGATATCAGATGCCTCCTTGAGAAGGTGGCCCGGGACATCCTGCTATCTTGGGGTCGGACAGGTCGATGGGTAGCTCGAGCGATTCATCCCTCCTGGACAAGGACGCTTGGCCCGTGTGGAGACCAAACATCCGAGGGTGCGGGGCTTGATACAAGGTAGAAGCGACCCCTACCCGATAATTCTGGACCACTCGGGATTTGTGCCAAGGGGATGACACTGCCCTCCTGGCCCAAGAATCACAAGGCATGAGGCTTGCTTGAGGTTGCTGGGTTCATGCGGGCTCCCGTTGGTGTGTGTGCAAAGACGCCCTCAAAACCTAACTATGAACCCTAAGCCCTAAGCCCTAAACCCTATAAGCCTCAAACCCTAAACCCTAAACCCTAAACCCTAAACCCTACTAAACCCCCACTAAACCCTTCTAAACCCTACTAAACCCTCAACCCCCCCTCAACCCCCCTCAACCCCCCTCAACCCCCTCAACCCCCTCAACCCCCTCAACCCCCTCAACCCCCTCAACCCCAGAAGCCCTTCGAATCTTCGGTGCGGCTCAGCTGCTCGGCTCCAGGAACCAGCAAGTAGACCTCGGACGTTTAAGCGCTTAGGGCTTAGGGCTTCGGGTTTAGGGCTTGGGGGCTTAGGGCTTAGGGCTTAGGGCTTAGAGTTTAGGGCGCTTTGGGGGGGGTTTTTAAGGGTCCGCATCTCGGTTGTGGCATCGCACGAGGACGGGGGACAGCAGAAAACTCTCAAAGCCCTGCCAACCTTAAACTCTCCTGACCCCTAAACCCCCAGACAAGCCAAACCTCCCACACTTTTAAACATCTAAACCCCAAGCCCTCCCGACCCTAAACCCCATGATTCATGAATCCTGTAAACCCTAACCTTCTCAACCCTACACCTCCCCCCCAAGCAGCCCACGGGAGCAGCGCAAGAACTTCGAGGCTGCACTTGCCTGAGCCCTTGGCCTGCAGCTCGGAGAGGGCCTCCGCAGAGCACGAAGACACAGCTCGATGAGGCTTACTTCGGTAGGGCTTCAGGCTTGGGGTTGAGGGTTTCGGGGTTTGTTTAGGGTGTAGGGTTTAGGGTTTAGGGTTTAGGGTTTAGGGTTTAGGGTTTAGGGTTTAGGGTTTAGGGTTTAGGGTTTAGGGTTTGGGGTTTAGGGGTTGGCTGGCAGAAACACGAAACGGGGTACTTGTTGGGGCTAGGGTCAGGGAAACCGAAAAAAGCTGGGGCACCTAGGGCTATGCCACTTTGGCATCACCCCCCTCAAGACCTGTATGGGAAGAAATTCTAAGTTAGGGTGGGCCTCTTCAGAGTGCTACCTTTCTAAGGGTTTTGTGATTTGAAGATGTTGGACAAGGCTTTGGGATCAAGTTGCAGTGAGGACTGCCATCACGGGTATCGTCGGCCTCTGGCAGCTCGCTCGCATCATCAGCCATAACCAGCCTTGCTAGCCATGGCGCTGAATGCACAGCAAGCTGGGCACAGTGCCTGTTTTAGGGTTTCGGGTTTAGGGTTTATGGTTTAGGGTTTGGGTTCAGGGCCTAGTGCCTCAGTCCACTGCATCTCATCTCAAGTTGCTGAGCAAGCTTACGTGTGACAGACCTGAGGCGCATCAGCCGACGACCTGGCCATCGCGAGGAGTGGAGTGGCATCTGTGTGGTCTGACATGCAGGCAAAAGAGCCTATCCAGAGACAGCTGCTTCTCGACCTTACACGGACGTGGCATATGCTCTCTGATGCCAGTATCGGGCACAAGGGGTAAGCTCCAGGCTGTGTCAAATCTCACCTGAACGGCCGCCAGTTGCTCCAGTTCGGCGCCACCTTCGCAGAAGAGACGCGAAAGGTGGATTTCCAACACGGAGAAGGGCTCTTAAGGAAGCAGTTTGGCTTGAGACACATCAGACACCCCATCCTTCCAGGAGCCAGTGAATTGCAGTGTCCCTTTTGAAGGAATATTCCCAACTCGCGATGCTTCCCGCACTTCCTTACAAGGAACGCCTAAGCCCCAAATCCCTCAACCCCTCGGCCCTCAACCCCTCCACCCGAAACCCCTAAACTCCCTAAATCCCCGCGCAGAAATCAGGCCTTCGGCCAAGGAGAGCGTGAGCCGGAAGGCCTGGAGCTCTTCGGGCCTGGGCTTCTCATTCCCCAAAAATGTTACGATGTAGGGTTTAGGATTTAGGATTTAGGATTTAAGATTTAGGATTTAGGATTTAGGTTTTAGGATTTAGGATTTAGGGTTCGCAGCAGCGGTGGCAGGGAGAAACTTTTCTTTCCGTCGGACAAGAGTTCGATGGGAGCGTGAGAGTCCATCATGCATTTCAGCGAAGAAGCCATGCTTTAGCCAGTGTCAGAAGTTCTGGAAAAGCGCTGAAGCCGCCTTGCACGCAGCTCTTCTGTGGATAACACCGCCGCTTGTGGCTGAATGACGGGCAGTGTGGCTGCTGGCCATACAGGAGAAGCAACAGTTGGCGTGGGAGGCCTTGCCCCTGCACTGCTCGTGGTTCTGGCTGGAAGTTTTGCAATAGCCGCACGCTTGGCATCTTCCTCGGATTCCATTCTTTCAGAGGCGCTTGCGCCTGTTTCAGGATCAGTGATGGTAACTTCATACTTTACCTCGTCCAGCGAGTGGATTTGTGGCTTCACGTTCATTCGCAAGCAGCGGCCTTCATGGATGAGTTCCGAATCACGACCACCGATGGCTCCTCTTAAGAGATCTGCAAATAAGCCTTGTACCTGTTCCTTGGAAGGACGTTCCGCTGAGTTTCCAGCCAAAGCTGCTGGGCTTTCTCTGGAGAAGTGTAGCAGGGCAGCCCGTGCTGCATCGCCCAAGTCGGAAAGATCCATCTTCGCACATGCGTGTGGCTGATTTCGATCAGCTTTGCCAAAAGCAGCAGGGCTTAAAATCAAGGGGAAGGTAAGGCGAGAGTCCATTCGAGCTCGTTGCCGGTTATTTGTCCGTTTCGCAACTGCTTCCTGAACGCGTGCAATTAGCTGGAGAATATCTTCATCTTTTCCCAGCTCCTTCAGCAACTCTTCAGTGAAATGACCTGCACCCGAAGATTCGCCGGCAACTCGTCCAGGATCGCACGCCCAAAGAAACAAGAAATCATTGGGCGATGCGTATCTTGCATTTTTGACTGATTCACGACCTCTCGCTCTACCCTGCGACCGACTTTCTGAACCTTCGCAACCTTCTGTACAGCGCCACGTCACATTGCTCAACTCCTCTCGACACGCGTCAAAGCACAGCACGCTCACAAGCTTCCGCCCATCAGTCAATCGGACGCGATTTAGTCTTCGAACAAGCAGTTCCTGCACATCGAACGGCTCGCCATTTCTGGACAGCAACTGTAGCTGCCCATGAGTCTCACGGGCATGACCAGCATAGTAGAAGAAGAACAGCACTGGGAGTTGTGACGGCGTCTGTGTGCTTGCTTGAGATATCTGCAGAACGCTACTTTCTATGCAACTCGACATCTGTTGCGTGTCTGCATTTTCGACCAATTCAACCCGGTCTTCTGGCCAGCCGAGCTCAACAAGCCGCTTTGCCATCCGATCCGCATCCCGAACACAAAATTCGAGACGTTGCAATGCAGGATCAGAACACCGATAGTCATCGATGCCAAGGACGAGTGCGGAAACAGGGCAAATTGGACACCCAGCCATCAACTCATCGGCAGCTGCGTCTCCCACTTCCTTCTTCCAAAATCCTGCACGTCTAAACCCTCAAGCCTGAACCTCCAGATGTGCCAGAATACTTGGAGCCAAGAGTGGCTGGCGTGAGTGGCTAGCATTGTAGGTTGAGGGTTTAGGGTTTAGTGGGTAAGGATGGTAAGGCTTAAACCATGTGTTTCTCCTCTTGATGGTGCCGTCCACGATGTACTTTAAACTCAGATAGTCCTTGCGAATCTTGACTCAGATCGTCGTCGTATCTCTTTCAGAACAGCTAGTACGAGCTGCTGTGAGGACCGACTCCGTGTCTCCAACCCTAAACCCTAAACCCTAAACCCTAAACCCTAAACCCTAAACCCTAAACCCTAAACCCTAAAGGGGCAGCCCCCTTCTAAGCCAGAGGCTGCCCACGCAGCAGCTCCCGCAATTCTGGCTCCTCCAAGGCCTGTCAGGTGGACCGCTGGCTGGCGGGATGTGCCTACCATTGTTCGTAGCATCAGATTATTATTCTCATTCTTATTATGATTATTCATATTGTTGATATTATTACTATATTTCTATATATATATATATATAAACGCTATAGTACCTTTAAGAGTTCCAAGGTTTCATAGCCTCAGCCCTAAACCCTAAACCCTAAACCGACAAAGAACTCTTAAAGATTCTATACCCATTAAAATATACAATATTTGAACAAAAATACTATTGGAATTCGCGTTACGAATGAGGCAAAAGACTATTACTCTCCGGTATTCTTTCCAGAAGACTGAGGACAACGATGCCATGTGAAGGTCTGGGAGGCCTCCTGAGGGGCCAAGTGAAGGGCCGTCAGCTCGATGGACACCGTGAGCCGGCCACCTGGCAAGTGCAGGTCTGGGCGTGCGGGCTTCATAGGGTTTAGGGCTGTTGTGGCTTAGGGTTTGGGGTTTGGGGTTTGGGGCTAGGCTTAGTGTATATGGGGTTCAGGCACTCGGGAGCATGACGCCGGGCTCATTTCAGCTGGCGCAGTCTTCGACTGTACAACTCGTGACTGCGACTTGTCACCCAGACACCAGGGTCACCATGAAATGCGAGAGAGAGATGTGCTCACGCCCGTCCATGGTGGCTGGCGACAGCGTGCTCCTCAAGCCATTTCGAGGCATGCCCGGCCACTTCTTGCAAGATGTCATCAGGGACGAGGAAACCAGCTGCATTGAGGCGCCTTTCGATGTTGGCAGCATCTGCTGTGGCGAAAACCAGTGGAAGCAGAGTGACGGTCGCTGATCTCTGCCTGAGCTGTGTCAACAGATTGCCAGATGACCGGCACCAAGGGAGACAACTATCGCTGCTTTGCTGCTATTACTTCTGACTGATCGTCTATGGCCCGTGTCTCAGACAACATGGGACTGGACCGATAGCCAAGGGTCACATCAGGATCCCATGCTTTTAGGAGCGGGAAGAGTGCCCTCACCAGCACCTCTACCTCTCCAGCCCCTGCACCTTCTGCCAGTCTGGCCAGCAAGTCCAAGGTGGCGCACCAGTTCTCCTTCTCCAGGGCAGGTTGCAACTGATCGATGGCCAGGGCCATCACCGCCTGCCTGGACCCCACATCCAGAACATCCAGAAGCTGCAGGATCGTTGCGGATGCTGCCTTCTGGGTGTGGCTGTTTGAATCCACCAACGCACGGAGCACCGCGGCCAGGACCTCGAGGTCTCCGGGGATGCCAGCACCCAAGGCGCCCAAGGCGCGCAGGGCCTCGATTCGGACGTTCTCGTAGCCTTCCTCGGCTCGGAACGCGCGCGCAAAAAAAGAAAGAAACACCTTCAGGGGAGCGCTTGATTCTTGGGGCAAGAAGGGCACCTTGCGTCTTCAGCCCAGCTTCCTTGTCCGTGTCTTCCAGCCGTGCAAGGAGGGCAGCTTTCACTTCGGCGTGGCCTCACGATGCACAGAAAAGAAACCAGTGTGACGCCATTTGCCACACCCCTGACGCCATTAGCCACACCCCTGAAGCCTCGTCATGGGTCTCACATACAGGAACGAGACCCCCCCCCCCCCCCACACTCCCCTGCGCCGACCCTGTCTGCCTGGCTCCACCACCTTTGCAAGGGCTCGGGCGCTGGCCCGACGGAGCACCTTCACCAGGGGTCAGGGCTCCAATACCTCCAACATGTCCAAAACATTCGTTTGGTGCACCGAACAGATCCCTACGTTGGAGTGTTTAAGGGTTAGGGGCAATGGCATCGGCAGTTGTGCAGACCAAGTGGCCATTATGTCGCAGTCATTTATGGTATTTTAGGGGTCTCTTCGAAAGTATGTGCTTGTTTGGAGGTAACTTTCGGTATAAACCGAAACCATTCATGCCCCGTCCTCCTCACCGCTCTGCAGGTGGAATAGGAGGCGGGAGATGCAAGCGGCATCGCCTTGGAAGGTCGAGGCTCCCAAGCAAGGATCGGGAGTCTCCCAACAAGCACCCCCCCTCAGGGACCTGCAACACCTCCGAAGCCACCTTGAAACAAAGGGCATCTTGCAGGTAAGCCCCGAAAGAAACCGGGGTTTCGCAGAGGACTCCAGTGCGGCCAAGAAAAACACCACTCCGAACTCGAAGGCCCACTTCCAGCTCAAGCTGCGGGGTTGGGGTCTCTGCTTTCAGGCTTCTTGGTACAAATCCCAAGCCACCCGGCCTTACAATCAAAGCTTCAACCCTCCAACCGAAGCCGTTTAGGGCTTAGGGTTCTTGGGTTTAGGGCTCAGGGGCTCCCGTGCCTCGCGGGGCGACACCCGCAATCAGGCGCAGGCCTAACTCTGCTTCCTGCGTGTCCAACCTCCGCTTCATCAGAGCTCTGTTGATTCCTAGGACTAGGGATTCTTGCGGTGGAGTTCAGAAGTCAACTTCTCAAAAAAGTTAAGGATGTCGAACGTGGGGTTCAGGGTCTCGGGTAGTGGGTCCCCTTCAGCTGCGGGGGCCCCTTTTGGATGCTTTACTCGAGACTGGCTTCGATTCTTGGGCTCCCACGCAGCTTCGATGCCAGAAAACCCTAAACCCCAAACCCTAAACCCCAACCCTAAACCCTAAACCCCCGAACCCAAACAGAATGAGATCCGTGGCAGGGCACAATCGGTTTGCCACGTCCAAGACTGACTGATTGCCGATGTTGGCGACCTGGAGGATAGCGTCGACTGCTCGGTCTCGCACGTGAGCATTGGGGTCCTGACCGGTTAGACCGACAAGAGTGGAGAAGCAGCGCCATGTGAACGATCTTAACTAGGTAAAGACAGGATGGCCAGGCACTCAGATGCTCTCAGCCCTCCTCCAGGCACTGCAGGGCCGCATCGACCGCAGAAGCATGACCCCTCACCGCCGCCAGATCTTTCAAGGCCGAAGCTCGCTTGGTCACGCTGCCGCTGCCCAGGCGGGCACACACCTCCCGCAATGAGCAGATGAGCAGCAACTCCAGCTCTTCGCCAGTGGCAAAGCTGTAGGCGTCCGCGATGGTACGTAACGTCGATTGCAAGACCAACTCTTGGCAAGCTGGCGGAAGGCCCCAGAGTGCTTGAATCTTCTGCTTCACGTCGAAGGCCGTTTCTGTGTCAAATAGCTCTAGCTCCAGCTCTTGGCCACTGACGTTCCGGACAGTGACTTGGACCATCTTGAAACCGTCGAATCGAGGCGCTGCAGACTGCGGATGGCTGTGGATGGCGGTGGATGGCGGCGGATGGCTGTGGATGGCTGCGGATGGCTGTGGATGGCTACGGCAAGACAGACAAGGCACGCAACCCGTTGGCAAAGACGTGTAAGCCAATCAACACGGGCACAACAAAGCCAGCCGTACCTGGACCTTTGCCCTTGGGCAGCATCCTCGGTGCACTTTCAGACCGCATCTGTGCAGTGTGAAGCTACTCGCATCACTAAGAGCCAGCCCGCACTGTGTTGCGTCACTTTGGCCATAACCGGTGCACACTGTCCGCAACAGAGGCTCACACTGCTCGTCCTCCAGGCAGACCTCGCTGGCCTTAGCACGCTCCGAAAGCCAGGACGCTCGCTCTTCCCTCGATAGAATTCATGAGCCTGTGGTAAGCGTAACTTTTTCTTGTCGGCCATTGCCGGCGCGGTGAAGATGCATCGCTGTATCATCCTGGTACCAGTGGTTCTCTGTTTCCGTGGCACAAGTCAATGGTTATTCGGCTCCCTCGAGGTTCCTGTATTTCCCTCTGGCCGACTTCGAGATTTTTCATCCAGGAGCTGGAAGCCGTGCGAGAATATCCCACAGATCTAAGCCCTCTGACGCGGCACCGAAGCCGAGCAGCGCGACCCTGGAATCCCAGAATAGTGCTTCTGTCGATGATTCAGGGGAGTAGCTCCAGGGAATATGGCGATAAACCGCTAAGCATGATAATACGATGCTGACCCCATATTACGATCAATCGGTGCTGCGCCAGCTGGCCAGGAGCACTGCCATAGGCCTTTCCTCCTACGCCACGGGTGGGACGAAATCGAAAGCGGCATGAAAGACACCATGACACCTCCCACCTTAGGAACGTAGCGGCAGCTCGAAAATTCTGGGGCTTGGTCCCATTGTCAAGAATGAAAATTGGGGTCAGGCTGATAGGCGAAGCCCAAACCCCTGCAACTTACACCCCAAGAATTAAAAACCAAGCGAAACCGCAGAGGCTTGCGGAACTCACCCGGGCCAACAGTGATCCTTCCTCCGGGATCGCCCTAGGCGAAGGACACCTAAGATCAGGCTCGTATGAGTAGAGTTTCAGGTCAAGGGCTTTAGGGTCTAGACTCTGGACCCTCCATCCTTAATAGACTTGGAGTGTGTGAAGGACTTTGCGCAACCAAGCTCAACCACTTCAGACGCTCTAAGCAAACACACGCCTCTCATCCAAGCAACTTGGAAAAGGCCAATGCAGCTTTCCGCGCCTCAAATCTCCAGAAGCTGCTTCTGATACTCTGAGACCCATCATGGCCCCACGTGAATCCCGGCTCTCGCTTAGCCTCCTATAGCCTCACAAGCCTCTGAGTCCTGGGCCGAGCGTGCGCCGTCTGCGAGAGTCTCCGGAAGCCGCGTCGGCCGCGTCGGCGTTGCGGGTGCAAACCAAACGTATTGTCTGAGCCTCCACCGGCGGAACCAGGGCGAACTCTTGCCTCGGCTTTAGGTCAAGTTGGGGGTGTACGAAAAGAATGACCCCTGAAATAGTCCCGCAAACAGCAGGATTCCCTTGCTATAAGGACCCCAGTAAGGTACCCCTAATTTCGGAGGTTTCCCCCCAATTCACGGCCCAAACACTGAAAGTGACTTGAGGGGCAGCCGAGGCCAGGGAAGGCTAGCCCCGTGAAGATTGCGCCGACTTTCTTGAAGCTAACACCTCCAAGATGAACCAGCAATAAATACTAACCTATGATAGAAAAAACCCGAAGATTTCCGGACCTTGTCCGCCCGTCACGCCGTCATGCAGGACCACATCGACACGCCCAGGTGTAGAAACAAATCCTCAACATTCGCCTGTTTAAACTTGGTCTTCTGCTAGCGCGCTGACCAGTAGCTAGTTGCAGCAACCCAAGCCATGCTGGTTCCTCTGCACTCCACCCCGCGATCCCCCTGTACAAAATCAAACTCAGCCTGGTTGTTACCTCGTTTGCTGCCTTTTGCACACTGACCTGGTTGTGCAGTTGTCATGGGCGTGCATGGGGACGGTGCTTGCAGCACTTGCCGTTCGCGTCCTTTCCGAGGACTATTCAGCTGAAAGAGTGGATCCCCTGCATAGGCCGCCCGCGTTACACAGTCCTCAAGCAGCCGGACCTGGCCTTGCTAGCATCCCCTACGCTCGTGGTTCAGAGTAAGGGGTTAAGTATGATTGAGTCGTGCAGGGGCCTCTGGGATACGCCTTGGTACAAATCGGGTGCTTTCTTGGGTTTATACGGGTATATAACTTATGACTTATGATAACAGTCAAGAAATGTTACACGGAGTTCAAAAAACATCGCGTGCTGGCTGGGGCGAGGCGAGGGGAAGGAATGCATCAATGCATCCAGAGATCGGGGCTTGGGCACGGTACCTTTTCTTTCGCACATGCAAATGTCTGGAGATCTCGCCCGGCCTTCTTGGCCCTTGCGGAAACCAATATTGGGGTTTCAATTTAGAGGGGATCAACGGAAGCCCCCTGAAACCCACATCTCAACTCAAAAGGCACAAAGTGTGTAGTATGGTCAGTAGTAGAGACAGTATAGACAAAGGGCTCAACGGAACCCCGTGAAACCAGCCCAGGGCCGATAAACTAAACCGGCACCTCTCCATCCAGCTCTTTGTCCTTCATTTCCTGCTGCTTCTCTATGCAGCGCTCGTGGTGCTCCTGCTCTGCCAGGCCCTTCAAGTAGAGCAGGTGCATCTGCTCCAGAGCCCTCTCCAGTTCCTCCACGCGCCTCTCGCGCGTCTCCACCGATTGCAGCTTCAGGCTGCTGCTGCTCTCATTCTCAGCAACAGCTTGTTCCCGCATGGCGAGCTCCACTCGCGGATCGGTCGGCTCTGGGCTGCCAGTCTCAACCCAAATACAGAGGCGGCGATCTTTCGCAGAGAGGTTATATGGGACCAATCGGGCTCTGACACCCTTGGGGCACCGTGCGCAGCGTAGGGAATCGACAACGCGGGGAGCCAAGGCTGCCTCGACATTCTCCTCGAGCAGCGTGGTATACTCGGCCCAGCGGATGCCCTTGCGTCGTGCTGCTGTTTCGGCAGAAGCTGCAATGGAGCAGCCCACGACGAGGTGGTCCAGAGTCTCCTTGTCTTTGTGATGGCGGACCAAGTCGGCGATGCCGCACTTCTTCTGGACGGGACCCACAAATGCTGTCAGGGCAGGCGACATTTCGAGAATGTGCCCCGCTTCGATATCAACAGTGAGCCAGGCACCTCCAGTGCCACTCAGCAGCTTCCTAATCGCCAGCCGATTGCGATAAAGCTCAGCGTACGCCGAGCACCAGACGCGTTCCGCCAGGTAGACGGGAACCAACATGCAGAAGGCGACCAGAAAGCATGGCACACCTGGCACGCCAGTCGTCTGCTGTAGAATAACCAAAGCGGAGCCATAGGCACCCAGAGCATATACGTCCCCGCAGCACATGACCACGAGGACGATCACCCAGAACATCGCCAAGTGCTCCGAGCACAGGGCGTCGCGCCGCTCCCAAGCGGAAGTGCCCTCGTCTGTGGTTCCAATCACGCGCCAAGCGGCTCGCCAGGTGTGCTCGGACGCGGCAACGCCCAGCGCGACGTCCGGGAGGTTTGAGGACTCCATGAACGCAGGGGCACAGCCAGCGAAACACAAAAGCAAGCCGAAGATTACGTTGTTGAATAGCAGATTTTCTTCAAAGCCCTGCGACATCCCCTCGGCCAGCAGTGAGGAGACGAAGATGGCCAAGGTCGTCAAAGCACGCAGGCGTCGGCGGCTCAGCATGCTCCAAGCGTAACCAAGGGTGGAGGGCAGATTGTTTTGGTGGAACCAGTGGTAAATCTTCGATCTGGGGAGGCAGCACAATATGTCGCGATAGACTGGCATGCGTTGCGGCTGCTCCTCCGGAACTGTCTCGTCTTCGCTTTGTTGTGGGGTCCCGGCCTCAAGATCAGGTCCAGCTTCCAGCAGCGGCTCGGCCGCCGATGCCATTGTCATGACCTTCGAAACGAAGGACTAGCGTTTTCGATGCGACCACAGCTCGAGCCGTCGCCACATTTTGCACTGTCCAAGCTTACACGGGCCCTTCATTGGCCCAGAACCAACACCCGGACACGTACAACCCTAGTTGCGAAAGCAAGACAAAAGGCAAGCCTAGCTCCGGCTTCGCTTTCGTGACAAGGCGGAGAGCAAATATCTTCTCGCCTTCTTATGCCACTTCTTCGGGGTTAAGGAGCAGAGACGATAAAAGCCAGGGCGCAGGTCAGCTCGATCCAACCTGACAACGACAGCGAAAGCGTAGAACTAAGACACTCGGCATAACTCGTCGCGCGAGACCAGCTCTTGCAATCGAGGGGCGTCTGCAGAGGCACGGGTGACGCAGGCACCCAGCTCTCGGGAGACTCGCTGCTCCCGCCCGCAAGTACATGGAAGTCACGCCTTGCTTGCAGCTGCGGCATTTGAACCCATGCTTCGTCGATTTTTGCGCTGGAGAGTGAGCCCAGTGACACTGACAGCGGTCCGTACGGCAATGGTGGGATCTTCACTGCCACAAAGCTGATGCGTCTCATCGCATCGAAGGAGAAGTCAAGGTATTCTCGACCAACTCCTCCTTCCCGAAGCTCCGTGTTGATGTACTGGTACGATTACGAATATGTTTTACCATTATCTACAGTATATATATATATATATATATGTATCATATATATATATATACATATATGTATTCAAATGCTATTGGAAAGGCTGAATTGAAGTGCAAGGCCTGGGCAGCTGCCGAATTTCGAAATCCACCACTGGTCTTCTCGACGGTTCAAGACCTGCCCGGCATTTCGCAGAACCAACGCCCCTCCTGATAAAAAACCCCCTCGAAAGTAGGCTCAGATGCTGACCACGGAGATGTCAAAGTCCTCCCTGGGCGCAACAAGGCTGCTCCAGATTCTTCAAAAAAAGTGGCGTGCCGCGACCCACGCCTGCCCGATGAGCAGTGGGTCACTCGAACCTGTGGCACATCAACAGAACACAATGGGTGTCGCGCATGTGCCCACTCTCTGTCGCATCACGCGGGGCAAAAGAACGTTGTTCGTTACTCTTGTGCCAAGCCTAAGGCCGTTGGTTTCCTTCGCACCTCGCCCTTGAACCTCGCCCTTGCACCTCGCCCTTGCACCGCCAACTGCAAAACTTGGTACTCACACAATGCATCGACTATCGCCCTTGCACCAGCCCTTACGCTTGCCCTTGCGCCTCCTTGCGCCATGCGGGTTTTGGTCGATATGGTTAATACTGTCAAGAGGCGGGGTTTAGAACAACCCCCTCATGCAACTGCTGGCATTCCTTCCTCGTTGCTCTGCACGCTGCGGATTTGCAGGTGGGACGCCTGGGGAGCTTGCTGAAGCAACGAATCCGTGTATCCTAGCTCCCACCTCATATTTCCTGCCCAGACCTAAAGTGCTCCAAAGGCAGGCGCGACAAGCGCCGCCACGTTGTCCGGGAGGCCCCATCCACCCTCTCCAAAGAGCCTGCGCAAGCAAGTCAATGCCCAGAACTGCAACATCCCAAATCCAACTTCGACTGGAACCGCCTCTGTGTTGCCCAAGGACCAACGCTGTCCAAAACACCCATCCACTCAGTGCTGCTGTGAAGCCTCGGAGAGTCCACGAAACAGCAACACTTCGACACTCCGCTCAAGAGGGGCGCAGAGACTTGGTAGAGAAAACCCGTACCGTTGTCAACCTGAGTCCATTTACCACCCCATTCCTTCCTCGTGCCCCAAGGAGCAAGACTCGGCGCAGATTCTGCGGCTTGAAGCTCAAGGGATCATACCTTCAAGCATCTTCAAACTCTTCTTCTCTTTCGGCCCCACGGGCCCGCAACAGCTACGCGGCCACTCCCCTCGGCACAAAAACGGAGCAGTGCCGCATCACAGGCTTAAGCTTCACTGCCGAGAAGCTGATGGCGAGGGATGAAATCATGCTCGTCCTCCACTTCGCGCACCGCATCCCAGACCGCGCCATGCAGAGAGACCCCGATCCGGCCGCCGGCACCCACCGGGGCTATAACGCGACCCACATGGTGGTTGAATTCCTCCTGAAGTCGAGGAACAACTAACATTCAAGAAGTTGCAGCCAAGACAAATGGGAGGTTGTAGGGTCGGTCGTCTCTTGTTGTTTCTTGTTGTCTCTTGTTGTCTCTTGTTGTCGTGTTGCTGTCTCTTGTTGTTGTCTCTTGTTGCTGTCTCTTGTTGTTGTCTCTTGTTGTTGTCTCTTGTTGTTGTTTCTTGTTGTTGTCTCTTGTTGTTGTTCTTCTTGTTGTTGTTGTCTTGTTGCTCGTGTCGTCGTCGCCGCCGCCGCCGTCGTCGTCGTCGTCGTCGTCCATCTTTGCCTGTGCCTGTTCTAGTCTCGGCCTGTTCTAGTCTCGGGGTTTAAGGTTTGAGGGCTCTTTGGTGTGCGGATTTGGCTGCGTGTTGTCAGAAGTTGAAGGCTTAAGACTGAAAACTTCAGGCTGAATCCGTCAGGGCCGAAGGATTAGGAAATGAGGCTCCTTCCTTTATGAATGCGTACTACCTCTTCATTTGTGGGTGACATTCTTCCGCCCTCCTGCCTTCCGACGTTCGGAAACCAGACCCAGACCATCCCTCCTCAGCCTTTGCATCTCCAATTCAGCAGCAGAAGCAGCAAGCCCTTCTAAGAGAAAGACTTCCGTGACTACAAAAGCGGCTCCACTTAACATGCTGAGAAGGATGCTTAAAGAAACATCCCTCTGAACGGAGACTTCGAGAGCCACCCTAAACCCTAAACCCTAAACCCTAAACCCTAAACCCTAAACCCTAAACCCTAAACCGGCTCAGCTCCTGCTTCAGGCCCACCAGCCGAACCAGATCGCCCACGAAGAAATCTGCAGACCCCATGGCTCTCAGGGCCGTAGCACATTGCCTCCCTTGTCTCTTTGAGGGATCTGGGCTGCCTTTGTGCCAGTGGGTGTAAGCCTAAGCCTTAAGATGCCTTAAGGCCTTAAGGTGACAGGCTGGCGACTTCGGATCTTCCTAGTCCTTGAAGGTTCGAGAGTCTTCAATGCTTCTGCCTGTGAGGGTAAGCAACTGATAGCAATCTTTGCAGTCACTCCCCTTGAAGGCGTGGTGCACTGTTTTATCGCGAGAACCTTCCAGTGCCCACACCGGCACCACTTCAGGGAAGACCATAGATGAGCTGATGCGCCAATACGACCGAGTCTCTCGGACATCAGATACACGGACGCATGCGAGGTCCTATGCAGAGAATGCAGAGGCAAGGACGTAGCGCCACCTGGAGAAGTCCGCAAGAGGGTCAACAAGCTCGGAGAAGTTGACCTGTTCTCTAGCTTCTGCAGAATGCCGGTCAACGGACTTCAAACCTTCAAACCAAGGTGTAGCTAAAACCAAGGTGTAGCTAGCTACTCTAGCCGGTCCAGAAGTGCACTGCACCTGTGGGCCACTTGGGTCAGGACAGAGACGCCCTCGAACTCCCCAGACTCTTTGACCGGCTGCATCTGAAGGTGCATCCACAGGGCCTGGCACATAATGCACCCCGAAAACCTGAAGTCTTAGACATGAACGTGGTGAGGGGAGACCTGGTGCAGCCAGAGGTGCGAGCTCACCTGCGTGGTACCCCGGCGTACTCAGCGTGCTCTCTCGCCATGCTCTGTAAGATTCTATAGGCACCCGCAGGCCTCTGCCAGGCTGCCGAGGAGGCAACAGCCGAAGACGTTGGCCCCGAGAAGCTGCAGCCGAGAGCGAAGCCTGGCAAAGGGAGTACAGCTGCGGCTTTGGGGGGTTTTCATGGGCGTGCTGGGGAGTTTAAATGCTTTTTTAGGGCCTTTGCTTCAGGGCCTTTTTGGGTTCCTGATCTAGCCAGGCGGACTTCTCCATCCAGCGCCAGGACGCCACGCCTTGCAAGTCAGCCACACCACTGCTGAAGCAGACGGTGCAACTCACCACCGCACTCGGCCGCTAACCCTCTGGCGGAGGGCAGAGGGTGGCCGTCTGGCCCGGAGCATGCACCTTGGATGCAAGCAAAAACTCGCATTCACAGGTTGTGAGGCCCCAGTCATGCCAGCCGCCCCGCGCCTTGAGGACCACGGCAATTCGGCCAACCGCGCTGCCAGCCATCGGCTGCACCTCAGAGGGTAAAACGCAGAGGGGGGAGGGCTGGCCCGATGCGGAGTTCCTGACACCCTTCCCCACACACTGCGGGGCAAAGGGGAGAAAGTGGTTGGTGCTCGAGGCTTCCCAAGATTCACTTCGCGCGCACAGACAACAAGTGCAATGACGTTTCGCACCGCCTGCTGGCACTGCCAGCTTGTACTGCGTTCGGGGGCCCTCAAGCTAGCCTATACGTCCCAACCACTCACTTGCGCGGTGGGTTCAAAAATTCTGGTCTACAGGCCGGCTACTTTCCGGTGACTTTTCCCTCGGCCCGTGGTCGCTTTCCGCATCTGCAGCCCAAGCGTCATGGTCACCACTTGGACCGCCTACGTGCGGGTCCCGAGGCGGCGGGCTCAAGTGCGTACAGTTATCGAAACTCGCTCTTGATGAAGCCCTCTCTTGATCTCTCTCGTGAGAGATACAGTAGTTCATGTATCTTCACCTGAGTGCTGGAAGCGCCTGAACTTCTACACTTCTCAGGCCACCACACCGCGTTTCTTGGACTCTGAAAGGCGATGGCACTGCGAAGGGGTGCCCTGCGTCAGACAAAAGAAGGCGGAGCCTGACAAGCATGAGACGCTGGTAACGATCGGCCTGGGGAGCTGCCTGGCTGGTTCCATGGGGCCCGAGAAGGCTCACGCAAAGGCCATGAGAGCCTAACGTAAGGATGAGTCCTTGCTGGCTGTCTCTCTCTCCAGACGTTCCATGGTAAGCACGTGTGTGAAGGCGAGTACAGTAACAGTCCGAGCCCAGCCACAGGCATGGCTGGTGTGTCTGGCACTAACTATTCAGAATGCTGATGCGCCAGGACACGAGCCGAAGAGCCAACTTCACACAATGCGAAGGGCCAACAACAGTGGCTGCGAGCGCCGCTTGTGTGCAGAACAAGGCTTCTGCAGAGTAGCACGTACGTGCCACATGCTCTTACGTTCAGTCTGCCCGGGCACCCGCCTGGGCCACGCAGGGCCATCAGAATTCGGCCGCCAGCGGAGCTTCCACGTGGACCACCCTTCGAGGCAGTTCGGAACAAACAAGAAAAAAAGATGGGCCGAATGCTGGGGACACGGGGTACATACGACGGCTTACGACCAAGCACCGCGCCAACAGGCTGAGGAGCATCTGACGACCTGAGTGGCATGTAACCTGCATCTCAGACAACAACCACACTCACACCACGCAGAGAACACGACATGCTTGGACGAAAGACCCCCAACTGGTCACGGGAAGGCAGCTTCTGACGTCGTCTGAAGGCTTGGGGCTGTGGCTCACAGTCGCCGTTCGGGGCGGGCCCACTCTGCCCACACTGGTCCTTTACGACCCACAGCTTCGCGCCAAGTTGAAGCACGGGATTAGAACCGCCTGCTCAGTACTACTAAATCCACGAACTACCAAAGGCCAGCAATTAACATGGGAGGTCCTTCACGACCTTGGCCAAAGCCTGTGCGTCCTCATCATGACGCACCCAGACGTCTCCATCGGCCCAGAGCAGGCGTCGTCCATCCTCACTGAGAGCGCCGAAGTGGCGGCAGCCGTCCACCGCCAAGGAGACGATCTCCTGGCGCTCGCCACCGAGACGAAGCCGCGAGCGAGAGCCGTCGCAATCCCAGTGGAATACATCTCCCTCGACATGGCCCCGCAGCTCCCCATCCGTGGAGATCCAATGTCCGTCGAGGTTCCGCGGACAGGCTTCCGACCCACCTGGCGAAACAGAGCCCAGCAGCAGCGCTCGCATGTGCCCTTTCTCCTGCATGGCTCGCACCCTCGTGTGCGACAGATTGGTCCACGGCATGCAATGAGTGCCGCCAAAAGAGCAGCTTTGTGCAGCAGCTTCGTACTGCCTCTGTTCACGCCAAAACGAGTTAGGTGTGTTCGCCCGCCCTCCGACATCCCAGATCTTGAACTTCTCAGGATCATCCACTTTCGTCTGCTCCACCAGTTGCATGCTGGCCCGGCTCATGGAGGCGGTGACCGGGCGAAAGTCTCTTCGGGACTCACTCGCCCAACCCATGTCGCTGATGGGGCGAGGCTCATGGCGAGGCTCACTGCGAGCCTCATTGCGAGTGCCCAGCGTTGGAGCAGTGCCCGCACTTGGGGGTGGTGTCGCTCTCCCCTCTCGCTCACTAACAAGGATGCGCGGTGTGACCGCCCGCTCCATCGCGGTGAAACTTTGCTTCGCCTCCCCGGTATGAGCTGTGTACAAGTGATTACACGTGTGTGAGGTTTGTGAGCTATACCCACTTCACTTTTCACATGGGCAGCGGCTTCAGACCGCCTTCGCACAGTGGCATGTTATGGGCGACAGTTTTGGGACACCCTGAACACTTCTTAAGCCCCTAGATTGGAGAACCCCGCCATCTGAGAAAGCCCACGTTTACATCCAGCCAGAAAATTGGCAAGTCGGGCAACCGCACATGCGAAAGCCTCACGACATGCACCCAGCTTCTGAAACCCTAAACCATCCCCAAACCTTCTATTGAAAACCCCTAAAGCACCCTGGGCCCCTAAACCCTAAACCCTTCTGTGAACACAAAGAAAAACTGGGCCCCAAAATCTGCATCCCAGCTCCCGAGCTGGGATATCAGTCTTGGTGCCTCAAGCCTCTCTAGCCGCTGCCGCAGCTCCTGTCAGTTTAGAGGGTTTTGGGGTTCAGGGTCTAGGGGCTTGGGGATTGAAACGGCTTGGGGCTCGGAATCCGATACTTGACCCACATGTTCCTGCTAGGAACATTCTTTACTCTTGGCATGCACAAATGCCTCTGATCATTGAGAAATCATCTATACAGCATATCCATAACCGCCTACACTTTCGTCATGACATGATTGGAAGATGAATCGTGATTCAAGCAAAGTAACCGTCTACTGGCGTGACTCTCGCTTTGGGTGCGAGATGTCGTGGGTTTGATTTCCGCACGTACGCAAAATCACGTGTGCTATATTCCCGTATGAAACAAACCTCATGTTCATAGTACTGGCCATAAGCAGTATTGATGCTACATACGGCAATTGTGTTTGTGAAGCAGTTACTCTAGTAAAGTGCCCATTCTGAGTGTTTATCGAAGCCTTTACTGACTTGAAACAATATGGAGAATGTATTCCCAAGATCTATCAACATCTACGCCAATAGTTGTCGTGCAGCCCCTTCTTCTTGAGCAAGATTCATGCTATTCGACTGCCCCTTTTTCGTGTAAGAATTCAGAGGCCAAATTCCGGGCTGTCAACACACGAAATCCTGCGTCCCATCTAGAGGCACAGGGTCGGGGACCCTATGCTAGGACCTGCATGGACCTGCGTAGAAGTCCCCTGAACCCCAAACCCTGAACTTTACTAAACACACCCTAAATCTCTACCACCCTCTCAGCCCTATAAACCCGAAGCCCCACCCTACACCCTGAAACCCTAAACCCGAAACCCGACACCCTACACCCTCCCCATTCCTACTGCAGCCGGTCCTCGGAGAGAGGTGGCAGCGGCGGCGGTGGCCAAATCGAGGCAAAGCCAAGGGCCTGCACGAGCAAAGCACCTCTCATACGCTGCGCCATCCCAACACAAACCGCACAAAGGGGTCCCATGCCGTCTCAGGCCCACCCTAAACCCTAAACCCTAAACTAAACCCTAAACCCTACTTCGAGGGCTACGCTGAAACTCCGGAGAGCCTGGAATTACATGCCAGGCATGGGGCTCAAACATGACTCACGCTTTTGGGGGGAGGGGGGAGGAGGAACCCGAGCGCCGTTCGATTTGGTGACGGATGGCAAGGCTGCAGGTGCATGTACTCTCCATGGTCTTTGGCGGAGATGGGCTAAAGTTGAGACTGCGATCGGGCGCTAGGAACTGCAAGCCTTCCGGGCAGCTCTAAGTTGCGGACCTTTCGCAAGAACCTCCAGCCAAAGAACCCGAAGGCCTCTACTCCCTAGAGCACAGCAGCACCTCTTAAACCTCGCAGGAGAAGGGGGGCAAAGGCACCCTTGAACAATCTGGGCCTGCAGCCGCTCTGCGCTCCGGCTCCTCCGCCTCACAGGGCCAGTTGCACTTCCGGGGATCTTCCGGGGTGCGGGGTGGATGGGGTAAAAGATACTTTGAGGGGCTCATGGCTTCGTGCTGCCACCTCATGTACGCACCTTGAATGTCCAAACCCCAAACCCATTCAACCCAAGAGGGCGCTGACCGCGCGGCCGCATCTTGGAGGGTCCATGTGCCACATGGGAGATTTCTCCGGGTGTGCCATGACCGGGGTTGACTTGCCATGTGGACTTGTCACCCAACTGCAAGGCCCGGTGGAATTGACCGTGCAAAGGGAAGGTTTGGACAACATAGCCGTAAGCACCAAATACATTATTCGTGTATACTTCTTCGCGAATGAGAACAAGTATACATATCTTCTCTTAAAATATTTAAAAAAAAAAACATGAAAATATATTTTCGTTTGTTTAACTTAACCCGGAATATGTAACACCGAATGTATTAATGTCATCTGTGCAGATATGTAATGGCAGCTCCGCCTCTCGAGTTCCTCAGCCTTTGAGGCGAACCACATGGCCGTCGGAGGAGGCGGCAGAGCCTGGCGTCATCAAAGCCATCGCCGAGTCGTAGCCAAAGGCACTGAGGGTTTGGGGTTTAGGGTTTAGGGTTTAGGGTTTAGGGTTTAGGGTTTAGGGTTTAGGGTTGAGGGTTGAGGGTTGAGGGTTGAGGGTTGAGGGTTGAGGGTTGAGGGTTGAGGGTTGAGGGTTGAGGGTTTCTGTGTTTCTGTTGCTTTCACTTGCTGGTTGTGGATACTACCGCAGAGGAAACCTACAGCTCTCTGACCTACCTGAACCACAGATAAAACACTTTTTAACTAGCATGTGCATGCACAGTGGGTGAAACGGATCCTATGCTACTCTGCACCTGGCACGATCTGACGTACGCAGGTGGCTCAGGTCGGCGGCCCACTGCGGAACCGCTTTAATGCAGGTCTTCTGCAACGATCTTTCGATGGCGGTGCGTCCGCTTGAGCATGACAAATGTTGGCATCCTCAACAACTACAATGACCACAATGGGCATTGGTGATGTCTCTCGCAAAGCAGAGTCTTGCAACAGGCGGGAGGCACCAAAGCCAGGTGAAACGACACGAACCTACGAATTACGCCTTCAATGTCTTTGAGTACCTAAGCCAGCACGGACAGTGGCGCCAGGAACTGCTGGGATCAACAGTTCTGCAAGGGGCCCAGGACTCAGGGCAGAGCTGCTTCGAGTGACGGAGCATGTAGAACGCAATGAACCTCAGCCCGCAAGACCAGAAGCCCCTCAGGTGCCAACATAGGGATAGGGTTAGGGGGGACCCTTGGGGATAGAGACCCTCTGAATAAGGTCCTGTTAAAAGAGAGCCACAAGAGGGTTAAGAAGGGTTCCCTTTGAAGAACCCCCCTTATCCTTCCTGTGCCCCAAGCCCCACCCTGGAACATGCGCACAACTTCAAAAGCCCCACTTTTGCCAAGTTAGTGTGGTCGCTGTTTGCCCCAAACCGCCGGAAGACCCATCGAGAGCATCGGCACAGGTCGGAGAGAAGCCTATCATTGAACACCGGGCCCTTGTAAACCCCACACTATGTAAGTTCGTCCTTGCAAAGCACCTGTTGAATCATGTTGAAACAGAATCCGCACTCAAGATCCCTTGGGAGCCCAACTCGATGGGATCCTCGGGCCGATCGCGCTGGCACGCCTTTGGAAAAGGTAAGCATCCTGTGGACATATAATATACTATATATATGCATTAAATTACCTTAAATTGAAGTATATTGTATTACAAAATATACTAATATATTAGATTGTACTATATTATACTTTATGATATTATATGCTATTATATGATATTATATGATATTATATTTTGTTTGATTAATGTTTCTCCTACTCAAGGGTCACCGCCCCATTGCATCTTTCATTTAGTGATTGGATGATGGTCTGGCTGCTGGTCGAACAATCAGGGTGATAACACGGCGATGCTTGCCGCATTTATCGGAACGTAACACCGGCAAGAGCTTTCTCCACAGGCACCATGCAGGGAGTCACAATCAGTCTTGGCTCGTACACCAGTGACTAGGACCTTGTAGTAACCACGCCGCTTGCATTCACATTGCAGACGCTGCTTGGAGTAGTGCCAAGAAACTCCTATGGATACACCTTCACGCCTGCTGGGCCCTGCTGCTAAAGCCTACATGCAACTGCTGCTGGCACCTCAATGCCACTTCTTCTTCAAGCCCTTCAGCAATACAATATTCCTTCTGCCTCCAGCGCAGGTAGGAGGGCCGGGATCACGTTGCGGTAGAGCCACTCCTGCCATTTCGCTGATCGAGGATTTTCGGAAGGATTCGGGGGCTTTCGGCCCAGGACCCGAGACTCGATGTCTACTGGGCGCCGAAAGTGATCTTTCTTCCTCTGAAGAACAAGCGCATCCTTGCTAAACCTCCTTGAAGTGATCTACAAATGGAGCCAGCTTTGAGCCCGAAGCGACTGTCAGAGCCCTGCCCAACAAAAAAAGTGCACCTTGGGAGTCATGGCCGCCGCAGCTGCTGCAGCTTTCTTCTGCTCCTGACGCCGGGCTGGGATGCAGGATGTCGAAAAAGCTGTGAAAGAGCTTTACCTACCTGTTGTTTTACCTTCTTCTCTAGGTACAGGTCTGTGGTTCCATGGGGGCTGTGTTGGACTGGAACTTCGGCCCTCGCGCACAGCAGGTCCTCTTCGGAAAGCGCTCTTTCCACTCCTTCTGCATGTCTATCCTGACAACCAGAGCTCCAGCACCGCACATCAGCCCAAAAAAAACACCTCTCTCGCACCCGAAGCAGAAGCAGTACTCTTGGGAAATCTGGCCTCCACGATCATCTTGGACATGTTGAGTTCACATGCCTAGGCAACTCAGCACAATACAACCTCACCCCAAACAGAGGGCCCCTCTTCGGGCCTCCGTCGCCTTGAGGAAGTACTCGATGTCCGTCACCGCCTCACATCGAGATGTTTCAGGCACATGGCAGCCCCATGGCCAATCCCACACCAGACCCCTCTTTGTCTTTTGTATGTTTAGTGATCAGTCATCAGTGTGTTCCATTCCACACTCGACACAAGAGCCGCGCCATGAGGCCTGGAAGAAGTCAACACGATGCAAGTAGACGTTTGCCGATCTCTCAAAAGGGATCGGCTCCCCATTCACCGCATTTCGCACCTGGCATCACAAACAACACGGACTCCACGACAATGGCGGGCCTGAGTGCAACCAAGGTGCGTCGACGCAGTAGGCATCCTCCTGGCATCCGTTGGTATGCGATCGTCTGAATACAGAGCTCTGCACGGCATGTACCATGGAAAGAGCTCGTCAATGACCCAGCCTTCTCGACGTTGCCATCGAAAAAGATGTGCTGGACCTCCAGACACTCATGTTTCATGTGTGTGGGTACAGCGCCACTACGTCGAAACTACGTCGAGCTACGTCGAACTACGTCGAGCTACGTTGAGCTACGTTGCAGCTGGCCTTGGTCTCGGCACGATCGATCAGAAGCATCTTCCCTGCCGTGCTTACCCGTTCGTGGGTCTCCCAGAACCTCACCGGGGGGCTGATGGTCGCAGCAGTTCGCAGGCATCCTACATTTTCCTTGCAAGATCTAAGTAGCACACGCGAGGTCATCTACAATGGCGGCTGTGTTTGCCGTGTCGAAGATCTGGTGCCTGGCCATGAGACCACGCGCTTCAAGACTGCCACAGACTGCCCAAATCCACCACAAGTAGCTTCTGAAGCTTTTCCAGTGAGAAATGGTTGCCAGCTGTGCATCAGTCCGGCATAAGCTTCATGGTACGGAGGAAAGGTGTACTCCGTAGGCCTGGCAGAGACAAGTGCCAAAACAAAAAAAGCGGGGAGACATTCAGCAGGAACTCCCGGCAGCCTGAAGGCCGACTCCGGCAAGTCGGCCTGCGCGGAAGCTAGGCTCTCGTAAACTCACCTGTACAGTATATTGTACGGCTTTCTACAGTATGATACAGTATTATACAATCGACTCTACAGCATATTCTGCAGCATATTATACATATTATACATAACAGCCTGCGGCTCCGCAGCCTCCGGAACCTCTGCCGGTGGCCTCGGGGCCATGCGCGGTAGGGTTTGGGATTCCCTTTGCTGGGCTCCTCGAGGGAAATCCTACTCAGTCCTACATTTCGAAAGATAGCAGTCCGGTTGTGCACCATCTTCCCCATATACCCCTACAGTAGTACAGGAGCACTGAAAAGCACGAAAAGCCTTTCGGGCATCGGCAACTAATCTTAAATGCCCGAGCAGTGGCAGCAAGGACCAACTTAAGGCCCCGGCTCCACGGGTCGATCCCTAAAGCGCAGAGAGCCGCCCATCCTATCCATGCCTCAGGGCTTCTCTCACTGAAGGGGAAGGGGAACCCCAGCTACCCTCCCTCGCCCCTCGTACACACACCCCGCAAAAGGCGGGGTCCGCCCCCTGAGAACCGAGAAGAAGGCGTCCGATGGCTGATTGAGACAGCCGCATGTCTCGGGAGCCCTGCCGGGAGTCAAGGGGTGATCAGGGGTTTTTACTAAGGGACTTATTTTTCTAGTAAGGGCCTTTAAGGCCTTTAGGGTTTGGGGATACCCCCGGATGCCTTGTTGCCATCCATCAATGGGGGCCTTGGATGTCAAAAGATCACGGCTCAACCATGCTCTTCGAAGCTCTTCGGCATCGGAATCTGACAGCGCAGACGAGTGACTTCTGGGTCTTGTTCTGCCCGTTGTAGGCGGGGTGCTGGCATTGAGCAAACAACCTTGCGTCGCATGGCTCTGCAGGAGGAGTGTCGCTTTCACAGTGTCTAATTTCATTGGTTGGAGGGTGGTGTTCGGGGAGTTTTTTGGTTGGGGTTCTTGAGTGCCTCGATCCTGGCTTTCTCATAGCTTCACATGCTTGCAGGGATGCTGACGCATTAAAGGTGGCTCTTGTAGAAGGACAGTTTCGACTCCTTCTACTATGCAACTTGTTGAGGTGTCCAGTGAGTTCCAACATGCCCTCAAGTCCAAGAGAGCGCAAAGATACGGGAATCCCGCGATTGAACAGCTCTGGGATTCGGGCTGCAGCTCCTTCTGGGCCTGACAATGCGGGGGGGTCGCCAAACAGGGGGGCATGCAGGTCAACACGCACCGCATGTTGTATTAGAGCCTGGCATTGCCTGACGTGAGATTCTAAAGCCCTGCTGCCTGGAGAAGCTGCTCTTCGCTGAAGGAGCGGAAGACGACTGAAAAACGTCTGCCGCGCTTTGTCAGCTGAATCTAGGTCGACCAAGGCCAAACACAAAGACCCTGAGGGTCGAAGATCGGATGATGCAGGGCACTGGGGCTGCTGCCAGTAAGTACCAAAAGGATGGAAGAATCTGATGTCGCCCAAAGCGCATGATGTTTTGCGCCTCAAGCATTCCCCTCCAAAAAGATGCTGGGATCATTCAGATTATCAATATTCCTGATACTACTCCAACTACTATCACTATAAATTACCATGCTTACCAGGATTACCATGACTACCATGATTACCATGATTACCATGATTCCCATGGTACATTACTAGCATTACTAGCACTACTAGCGTTACTAGCATTACTAGCATTTCTAGCACTCCTACCATTACTACCATGATTACCCCTACTACCAATATTACCTTTACCACAATTGCTACCGTTTCGACCAGCATTACGACGACGACGACGACGACGACGACGACGACGACGACGACGACGACGACGACGACGACGACGACGACGACGACGACACGACGACGACCACAACAACGACGACGACGACGACGACCACAGCAACGACGACGAATAAGAAGAAGAAGAAGAAGAGTCACTGCTGTGACTCTACTAGTGCTATGAGACCATCCCTGACCCTGCAGTGTGAGGCTCTCTGCCTCGGTCTTTGCGGGATCCTCCGGTACCTCCTCCTCTTTCAATGACACCTTGGGAAGAGGTTCAGCCAATTGACAAACACTCTCCTGGCACAGGGCTCTGGTTTCACATGTTTCATAACATTGAATGGCCAGCCTTCTTGAGTCCGAAAGCTTTGACGAGGGCCTGACTCACAGCCCCTCGCTTCAGGTGCGGCTTTCTGCGCAAATTCTGCTCCTCAGTGGCTTGCCTTGTTGGAGTGCTGAAGATTCTTGATCATCTGATCATACATGGGCCGGAACCTGCCAGTGTTGCTCTTTTCTTCCTCCGATTTCAGGTTTTGGGGGGGCTTCGAGCGTTTTCAAGATATACAGAGTGCTTCCGAGCTGGCGCACTTTGTGCCAGGCTCCCCAGGGCAGGTGAAGCAGCACCGCTTCTCGGTGGCCAGCTTGATGTTCTCCTCCCGCGCCTGGAAAACAACGGACTGCGCCAGCCGCCTCTTGTTAAAGCCTGAGCTCAGCTCCTTGTCCTCCATAGTCGGATCGGACGGGTACGCGCGCGCAACATACTCGGCGTACCTCTACCAGCAGCTACACTTTTCGAAGGGAGCGAAAGCAGTGACAGCGCAAGCAGGGGCACGTGATCAGCGAAGAGTGTGGAGGTTCCAGGGACGGATCTGGAGACTCCAGCGTCTCAGTGCAAAATCGCTGAAGCCTCTTGCCGATGTTTGGCTTCGAATAGGTGGGCGCCAGGCCCATTCGCCCCCCTCCTCGTCAATGGACCCCCAAGCCAGGCTGGACAAAGCCTCGGCTGAAAAAAAATCACGAGCACTGGCACGAATGGCTGCGGAGTCCGGGGCAAAGCAACTTGCAAAAGCAAGCTATGAACCTGGCATCGTTCAGCTCGTCCTGTGACCACTGGTCAATCAAATGTCAACTTGCTCTCGCTTTGCTGGCGCCCTCTGTTCGAGCAACCACCGGATGAAACAGGCATTCATGAGCAGCGCCATAAAGCTCAGGGATGTCTCAGCGACAACCACCACGGTCATCAAACTAAAACCGCCGGGCCCGATAGGACAGAGGGCCCTTTGAAAGCTGGTCCAAAGAAGTTGCCGTTTATCAAAAAAACTTAGAGAGGATGGTGTTGCCTCTGTTGGGGCAGAGGGGCCCGCCTCTGTGCTTCTCCCCCGAGCAACGTCACAGGTCATGATGGTGCCTCGGCACAGGTGCAAGCATTCTTGTTTTCATTCAGATGCAAGCAGTCGTCGTTCTTGTTGTCATTCTTCTTGATGCGTTTGACCGCTAGAGATGACTCCGCTCACTGCCCGGCGGTTTTTCTGAGAGCTACATGCGCACACAGTGCTTTTGACAGCCCCAGCTGGCAAAAAGGGACCTCGGCCAACTTGTACACCCGACTTGGAGTAAGCTAGGGTTAGGGCATGTTCGAACCCGCCCCCCCGGCCTCCATCGGACATGGGTTCACACAGAGGTGTTCTGTTCAGCAAGCTAAGTTCCTGCTTTGGAGAATGTAACAGTCGAGAGCATCCCCTGGCGATTTCTTTGGATGCCGAGAGTCTGAGCTGTGAGCCTTGATACTAAAGAGCAGAGGCAAGGGCTTGGAACAGGACTGGAACCCTATATGGAACAAGGAGCAACGAGAACAACTCTCCGGCCGTGCTCAACGTCAGAGGATTTCACCGTTTTGAGCCTTGTTTATTGTCCCCTCCCATCCCCTCCTCACGGTTTGAGCAGGTCGGGACCCCATCTTTCCCTCCCGATCCGAAAGAGACGGGACACCTAGCAACACAAGCACACTCGTCCCTCTCAGATACACAAAAGACCCCCCTCACTGCACGCTCTCTTCTCTCTCTTCTCTCTCTGTCTCTCTCTTTCTTTATGCCCGCAAAGAGAGAGAAAGAGAGAGAGAGAGAGAGAGTGCGACAGAAAGAAAAAAAAGAAAGAAAGAAAGATAGATAGAAAGAAAGAAAGAGCGGAACCAACCCAAGTGTCAAGTCAGCTCTGGCAAACTACAGTTGTAGCCCCATGCCAAACGGAGATGAGCCTCAATCCCCGCAACCCGCACCCTGCGGCTGAAGGGGAAGTCAGCTTTGAGCGCAGCCCCACGCAACTATGGACAGCAGCACAGCTAGTGTAGGATGGAATGAAGTCCTCAAGCTGTGATCACACAAACCCGACAAAGCCTTCCTTCCTCTCTTCCGGGAAGAAAGCCTGCGTTTCTCAAACGCTGCCAGAACACACCGGAGCACCCTCACAGAGACCCTGGACTCACGCGATCTCGCTTGCACACCTTGGCGAGGGGCTTGCACCCGAAGCCCTACGAAAGAAAGACAGACAGAAAGAACCAAAAAAGAAACAAAGAAGGATGTTTGACAAAAAAACAATAATAAAGATTAGTTCGTAGGCGGTGGCGACAGACCCAAGCTGACAGAGCCATACAAAGCCTCCGAGGGGTCACCCAACAGCGGCCTTGAAGCCCTTCCAAACACACATCGTTGGCAGCACTTTGTGGCTGTGGATGAATGCTGACTTTATGCTAGGGGGCAGCAGGGAGGGGACAGACGCGCACGGGACGCGCAATCATCCACGTGAGGATGCCCGCTACACTTGCAGAGACGTCGGACGGGGGCAACCCCTCAAGCCAGAAAATAAAGAAAGCAAGAAAGACAGAGAGAGAGAGAGAGAGAGAGAGAGAGAGCTAGAGTAGGGGCGAGAGTAGGGGTTGGGGGGTGAGCATTTTTGGTACAGGGGCGAATCAGAAAGCTTCACGCCTGGCCGGCAAAGGGCAGGCGGAACGATGTGCAAGGCGCTCCTTCTTCCGGACTTGATGAAAGCCCAACTTGGAGGAGCTGAGTTCGTGACACAGTCCTCTTTCCCCCACACACTCCACACAGAAACCCCCGAACAGCATCTGAGGATTATCCTGAGGGCGGCTGTGACCCACTCTGGGTCAAACCTGCCGATCTATGCACTGTGTTTCCTCTGACCCATAACTAGTACGGCCAAGCTTGATTGTATTTGCGTTCGACTTCCTGCGCCGGTGGCACAAGAGCGTCGGCCAAAGATTGCCTAGCCCGGAAACCAGCTACTTGTGAACTGCTAATCACCCCTCGGATCTTTGGCTGATCACTCTTTCACTTGTTTCTGTTTCTGCTTCTTCTCCTTGTTCTTCTGGCACGGGCGGAGAAAAAACCCTGCGTGCCAGACGCGCTCGTACTGACTACGTCCAAGGTACCCTCTCTTCATCTCATCTCTCGCTCGCATGGCACAGCGGGCACTGCAGCACTCTTGCAAAGTCTGCAAAGGGCCGGACGCGGAAGAGCCACATGCAGGATCAGCCAGCGCTTCCTCTCGTCCTGCTTCCATCAATGCAGCTCTCCTTCCACGGGAAGCCCATGAGCTGCTTGGGGTCCTCGGAGAGCTCGCTCTCAAAAGGAAAAGATGGGTCCTGTGAAGGGAGGGGCTTGGTCTGAGGGTTTTAAGTTTTAAGGCTTTAAGCTCTGGATTTCTGGGTTTCGGGCCCGCGGGTAAAGGACTCTAGGATGGTAGGGTCTTTGGCTCAGTTGCTGCAAATGTCTGCCTTTCAACCCTCAGTGAAGAGGTTGCGGTGGACCTGGATGGGTGGCGGCTGCAAGGGCATGTCCAGCCCTCCAGCAGGAGGGTCCGCGGGAGCCTGCAGACGCTGCAGCCCTAAAAACCCTAAGCCCTAAACCCTAAACCCTAAACCCGAAACCCCAAACCCTAAACCCTGAACTGCACCTCGGGCCCATCTGAACCTCAGCTGTTTAAACATCAACACAGAGCAGCACGGAATGGTCTGGGAGCGTGATTCATCCCCCCCACCCACCGGCAGGTCGTTGCTTGTGGAACCGGGGCCCAGACCTCCTGTCATGAGGGAACCTCGGCAGACTCAGCAGTATTCGAGGAACCGTACAAGAGCTTAAAGGAGATCATCTGCGGGCTCTGCAGACGAGGGTGTGCAGTTGTGGCAGTGTGGGCAGTGACTCGGAATCCGTTTCCGCTTGGCCCTCCACCTCTTAAGGGGCCCCGTGGACAGCAAGGCGACTACTGATAACTGCCCCTGGAGCCATGGTGGCGGCGTCGGAAGCATGTCGGAGCGCCCAAAGCTCCCGGATGAGCAGCTGCAGACATGCCGAAGTCTTCGTTGACTTCTCTGCAAGTTTTGGGGCAAGTTGTAAACTTGGCCCGACAGCCTCCAAGCCAGAGTCGCTCGGGTGCGGGCTCGGCGGCCTGGCTAAAGTTTAGAGACGTGCCAGGGGAGCTACTAAAAAGCTCGACATCCTGCTCCTTCCACGCTGCGAGGTCGGTACCTCAGAGGCATTGTCTCCCCTCCCTAAACTCATCCTAAACTCTAAACCTTCGCTGCGGCTGAGGGCTTGAGGGCTACACGCTTGTGGGCGGCAACGGGAGCGATGCCTCTCCGGAATGCAGAAGCTTCAAAAGCAGAGGCAATTTAAGCCTTAGGCATGAGGCCGCAGGTTGGCGAAAGCTGTCCTGGAGCTGTCGACTTTCAAGCGTGAGTGGCTCCTCCCTGGGCACAAGGCTGCACAGAGCTGCAGAGAGCTGTGAGTTTTTGGGTGAATTTCAGGCACCTGATCTGACACCACATGGCGCCCACCGCTCAGGCAAAGACCGTGGGCCACCATTGATCCAACCGCGAGAACTCGGCTTGGCCGACTCTCCCTGCAAAGGCACAAAACCAACTTGAGGATCGCGACCAGTCTCGAGTGCAGTTCCAGTGAATCTAAGGTGTCCAAGCCTGGCTCACAGGTGTGCTCGTCAACTCACTGCCGATTCGCATCGCCTGGAAATACGGCCTATGTTAACACGCCTTCAATGTGATGACTCCGCATCTTGCGCCTCGAGGTTCACAGGGGGCACTCTGGGCATTGTCTTCCTCTCCCGCATGGCCAGTTTTGCCTGGCCAGACATCCCAAAATACCCTGAACGTTCCTATCCTGAGGCTTCTCACCGTGGTGGGGCACTGCACATCATTGGGTAACTGCCCCATGACTGATCCAGGGAAGAACATAATTTCTTCAAAACGAATACGCAAAGATCCCTGCACAGAGAGAAAGAAGATGACCACCCAGTTGCGAGCCAGGCTTGCACGAATGAACAGCACCTACCTACATGTTCTGCAGGCACGTCCCAGCACAGCAAACACAGGAGAGCTCACGATTCTTGATGCATCTGAGAATGAAACAGGGTGTGGGCCATTGCTGATAGAGATAGTGCCCAGCACTCTGGACCCTGACCCAACAACTCGTAACCCAAAGCCCTAAACCCTAAACCCTAAACCCTCAAACCCCAAAGCCCAGAACGCGCCACCTGCGGACGCGGAGACACCCCGGTGCTGAGGGTGCCGGGGTCTGGGCCTCCTGGCTTTTGAGGTTGAGGGTTTAGGGGTTTAGGGGTTTACGGTTTAGGGTCTGGGGTTTAGGGCTTTTAAGGCTTTTAGGGCTTTTAGGGGGCTTTGGGGTTTTCAGGGTTCAGGATTTAGAGCTAGGATTCGGGGTCTGGGTTGAGGGCCTCAGGGCTTAGGGAATTTAAGGGTTGCCTGTGGTTGGGCCAGTTTAGGATTGATAGAGAAGGGTTGTTTGTGGCTTTGGGGATCTTGGGGTTGATGGCTTTGGGGGGAATTTGGGGTATGCGGCTAAAGCGATTAGGGTTTTAGAGTTGACAAGGACTTACAGCTTCACAATCAGGGCTTCAGAGGGAGTTCAGGTTGAAGATGAGGTTCATGGTGGCGATTTCGCACGACATAGGAAAGACTTAGTTTTTCAAGCGCAGGTCTCCACACTTGAGCGTCTTCATCAATGGCGCCGCAGGGCGAACTCCAGACATGTCGGGTGTTTTATGTGGAGTTTTGGGAGCCTGCCCCCGGCCTACATCCAGTGGCATCACCGGAGGTGGGCTGCCACGGCGCGCCTCGCCAGTGCCGCGTTCTGGCGCCCATCGTGCGTTCAGGGCGAGCCAAGGGCCCGAAATTATGAGACCCCGCCGGCAACCACCAGCGCCCAAAGTGGCCCCCCAAAAGAGCCAAACCTTGGCTTCGGCTGCCGTAACCTCCCTGCGTTCTGCCTGCCAGGCTCCACCAGCACTGCCAGGGCCTGGAGATGGCTCTCTCTTTGTGGGGCCGCGGCCATCTCCTTATGTTAGTTTCAAACAGAGACCTTCACTACCCATCTTACGGAGAACTGCTTGCGCATATATACAGGCTTTGAGAGTTGTTCCGGCGTACTTAGGCTTCGTCACATGCAGGTCTCTTCACACAGCCTAATGTGGCTATATGAAGCAGGGTATATATTTCTTGTACCCCCAAAAGGACACCCAAGGTATACACTCACCAAGATTAAAAAGGAACCTTATGTACACAACCTGCGGCAGCAGGTTGCTCACTCTCTACATGTGTCCGGCACGTGTGCCATCGGCTTCCAAAAGATGTGCCTTTCTTGGGTTCTTCTGTCTGGCCAAGTGAGCCAGCAGAACATGGCAACTAACCTCCAAGATTTGTGCAGTGAATGGCTCACCACTAGCATCCACTCTCTCCACCCACAGGAAGCTCGCACCACAAATCTGATGTATTTGTGGCAGATCGCGGGTCTCGTGCTTGTGCTGTGATTGGGAAACTTGCGATGCTTGCTCAGCACGCGACGATCAAGAGCAGCATTTCCTCCAAGCCTGTGCAAGTCATGCCAGGAATGGGGTATCTTCCCATTGACAGCTAGTATTAGAATAATAATAAGAAAAATGATAGAACAATAATAGAATACTAATAGAATACTAATAGAATACTAATGGAATACTAAAAGAATACCAATTGAATACTGATAGAATAATCAACCTAGAAAAACTACTGGCAACAAAGCAGCGCCTGGGCAATGGTGCCGGTGTATCCAGATCCTCAGAGAGCTCAAAGGGAGCGTTGACCTGCTGAGTAACCAGGGCTTTGGGTGGACAAATTACCACCATGGCTGCCATGGCTCATACGAGGGTTTCCGAATTTAGGGGTACCTTACTGGGGTCCTTGCTAAAAGGGGATCCTACTATTTGGGGTCGACATTAGGGGTCCCTTATTGTCGACCTACATATGCCAAGTCAGATCACACCAGCCAGAATTCTCCATCTTTTAATCACGAGGCCGCCTGGTAATTGTTGGAACCGATTTGTGTCCCTATGCCAGAATTATGGTCAGGATCGTGCGAGCTTCATGCTCTTGACCAAGCCGGAATACGAATCATTTCATTGGAAGATCGCTCTAGCAGATGCACAAGTGATGCTGTATGGCTCCAGGACCGACCTCAACAAGAGCCAGCTCTTTGATAATTTGCGAGCCTTGATGCAGCGCAGTGTAGCCGATTCACAGCCCAACAACACGTTGTTTGGAGATTTCTACAACCGATTACCCTCCTCGTGCAGCTTCTCCGAGCGGAAATCTCTCGGCGGCATTCGTTGCTGCACCGGCCAGAAAAAGCAGAGGACCACGGACCACGGCCAGAAAGAAGCTGTACCCTCTTGAAAACGAATGTGTTGTAGCTTGTTTTATACGCACACTTCGCTAAGTCCTACACGCTTCCAGTTTACCACTAGGTTGCTTGTTTTCGTGTACTACACCTAGCTAAGTGTGACATCATGCGGCAATGTTTGGGTACATCATGAGTGAGATCGAACAAGTATGGATGTGCGGGTATGTTGCCTGCACATAATGCGATCCTCCAGGGCAGGGACACTCGACGCTCGGCTGTGCTAAGTCTGAATCAAGTGGCATGTTTCGCATCAGCTGTGTCCCCGTCGGAGCTGTCCTACTGAACGGAGATTTCCATCAGGAGATCATTGCGGATGTGAAGATTGCCCAGGTGCCGAGGCCTTCACCCGGCACCGGGATTCTGGGCAGGCGACAAGGCACCCCAGGCCCATGCAATTCCTGTTTTGAAGGGCTTTTTGGAGGGTTTTAGAGCTTAGGGCCTTAGATGGGCTCAGGGTTCTGGGTTTTGGGGTTTGGGGATGTTCAGCTACCGTTTTTTGGCGGACAAGCCAGGATTATGCCTTCCCAGCCCTCGCAGATGGGAAACGTTCTCTTAGTCCTCCCGTCCTGCAAGTCTGCGTTACGTGGGTCTACGATGCGTAGATGAAGTGCCTACAATGCAATTATGATGCATCTCTCTCCCTAGATGACTGAGGCAATTGGGGGACAAAGATCGCAGTGAGACGCATCCCTCTGGATTCAGAGTGACTTTGTCACAAATCATTCCTTCCTCTGCGGAATCCCAGCGGAATTCCAGGAATCTGGGGGTTTTGAAAGCTTCTTCAGACTCCGAAACACTTGAGAAAACTTTCGCCAGGATCTGCAACGCGATAGGTGAGACACTGCCAAATACCAGGAGCAACTATTGGCTCCGTGGAATCCTGTGCTGCGTTTATGGCCCTCCCACCACCAAGAGTGTGGAGAAAACTGGGGAGAGTGGATTCTACTGGCTTCTACTGGCTTCTATGGGCAACTCTGGCTGTCGTCAGAAGGGACAGAGAAGCAAAGCCTCGCGTGTGAGGCCTTAAGACGGCACCGAAAACTGCTACTGCAGAGGATTTGGCAGTCTCGCCAGAATCCACAGCCGGCGCAGTAACGACTGCCGAAGCAATCGGAGCAGCGCCAGCTCAGCCGTTGGGCGCGGGATCCGGGCGCTGCCTGACAGTCTCACAGGTGCTTCTTACCGTGGCATCGGGCATGGACTGCTACCTACTGCCCAGGAGCCCATCAACGCCGATGCAGCAACCGAACTCAGGTCTAAGAAGTCTGCAATAAAATCCTGTTGGCCTTCTCGGAGTACTACCCAACGAGCACAAATCCAACTCCTCCAATCGCCTGGCAGGGGTTCCACATGAGGGTCCCTCTCGGGGGCCCCGGGAGCCCCGTTTACAACAAGGGATTTTTGATCATGAAAACGGCACCAAAAGGTGGAACCCCCTTTTTTTGGAGAGAGCAAAAGCCCCCTGGCATCGAGTGAGAGGGAGCCCCCCAAGTGCTTAAAAACCCAAGGACTAACCCCCCCACTCACGGGGGGAAGGCAGGGCAACCGCAACGTTGGCTCGGAGCGTAGAGCACGCTGAGCACGCCAAGGTGCATATGTATGTATGTCTTTTTCTTGGTTCATGTATGTATATATGTATATATACATATATATATATATATACGTCTAATACTAAAACAGTAAAGTCTATGCATTTGTGTGCAGAGAGAGAGAGAGACAGAGAAAGAGATAAAGAGAGAATGAGAGAAAGAGGGAAGGAGGGAAGGAGGGAAGGAGGGAAGGAGGGAAGGACGAAATAGAAAGAGAGAAAGAAAGACAAAGCGAGAAAAAGAGAAAGAGAGAGAGAGAGAGAGAAAAAAAAAAGAGAGAGAAAGAAAGAGAGAAAGAGAGAGAGAAAGAGAAAGAGAGAGAGAGAGCTCCCTCACCACAGTTGCCAATGCCAACAAGGGCACACTGCCTTTGTTACTACAAGTGCTCTACTACTGTGGCCTTTCAGATTTGCTTATAATCATGCCGTTCTTTGTGTTATTGGAACCCTTTCGGTGAAGTCCAACTCCCCAGGCCTGGAAGCGAGTACTTGCTTGCGTATGCAAGCAACGTGTCTAGGCATGGACGCCTGGCGGGGGGCAAGACACCAAATGAACGGAGGCACTTAAGCAAGGCTCCGGATGAACAGAATCGAATCACGAACTTTAGTGTGAATTTTCTGCCTAGAAACCTTCTAGAAGCCATAATTAAACATGTTGAAACAACTTCTCAAACTTGATTCAATGTTGACACAAAACTTTCCGTCTCCCCTGCACGAATCATGGAACATCCTCCCGACACTCAGACTTATTCGAGACGGCTCTTGTGACACTCGTGATTGATGCGACTGCGCGGCTCAACAAACCGGCAGACATTCCCAGGGCCGCGGATCCCAACGGCAAAACACGCGAATCCACGTCAAATCCCTTGACCCCAAATCCCCGACCCTCTGACCTGGAACCCTTCTTCTACATCCTGCAGCGGACGCGCAAGGAGGAAAAGAAAATCGGGACAGTCTGAAAGCCCGGACCTTGATACATTCTAGCCCTCCCTTCTTTTGATTCTGTTGGCTCTGGGCTTCGTGCCTTCGCAGCCGCTCCTCTAGCGTCAGGAGCGGAGGAAAACGAATGAGCTGCCTGGCAGCCGGCTGTCGCTGACATTGTTCCGCATGCCTGGACTTCGCCAAAATCCCCTTGAAACCCCACATGATCCCCAAACAATCCAACCCTAAACCCTCAACCCTAAACCCTAAACCCTCAACCCCCCTAAACCCTAAACCCTAAACCCTCCTCGAGAGCCTCCGGCACTCCGTTGAGCAAGGCCTCTGCAGCCTCATGATCAGGTCGGAGGGTGGAGGGTTGGAGGTTCATTTAATACTTCACCTTCTTTTCTTGAATCTAAAGAATCAGATGATTCTTCTTTTTGGTTGGGGGGGGGGCAAGGCTCAGAAAAATTCGCAGCTTTGATCAAGTTCGAGGATGGTCCGTGCCTGAGCAGGTGTGCCCGCGTAACGAGGTCCAGTGCCAGCTATAGGTATGCCTGGGACATCCCAGGGCGAGCGTCGAAGCAGAAGAGCGACATGCCGCCAACAGGAATGCCAAGACAATCAGCCCTAGATGTGGTGGTTGGGATGTTCCCCCTTACACTCATAGGGATTCTCGTAGGGGTACGAAAACCCCCATTGAGGGTACTATAATCTAATGAGGGTACTATGGGGTACTATCTTCCCCCTAAACCCTAAACCCTAAACCCTAAACCCTTTAGTAGAAGGGGGAACATCCCAATGTGGTGGCTCAAAGGCATGGTGGAGTGGACTGGCCTTCATCAATGTCCCGCAGGCCTGGGCTGACACATGAAGGGGGGTTTGGGGTTTGGGGTTTGGGGTTTGGGGTTTAGGGTTTAGTAGGGTTTAGTAGGGTTTAGGGTTTAGGGTTTAGGGTTTAGGGTCTCTCAGCGCCTCTCAGCTTCGGAACACACTCTCTCTCAGAGCCACGACTGAGAGCAACAAAATTGCATTTTGCCCTTGCCCTTTTGCCCGCCCCCCCCCCCCCCCCCCCGGCCCCTCCGCTGCTTGAGAATCCAAAACCCCCAAAACCCTGAACCCCCCCTTAAGCCCACCCCTGGTCCCCCCCCAGTTCCCGCGCCCCAACATTCACCCCCCAAAACCCCAGAACAAAACCCAAAAACAAAAAAAAACATCCCAGAAAACCCCAAAAAAACCCAAAACCCACAAATCCCCCAACCCCCCCCCCCCCCCAAAAAAAAAATAAAAAATCATTCCAAGTCGCCCGATGGACTTGCCATCCACGGGAACGACGATCGCGTGGTCGACCGCCGGGATGCACGGCTGGAGGCCCGGCCTCGCACCCCGCGTTTAGGGTTTAGGGTTGAGGGTTTAGGGTTTAGGGTTTAGGGTTTATTAGGGTTTAGGGTTTTAGGGTTTTAGGGTTTTAGGGTGGGTTTAGGGTTTAGGGTTTACGGTTTAGGGTTTAGGGCCCCGCACAATGTGACAGTACGATTTGCCGTGGAGCAAATTCTGACTGCTGCTGTAGCCGTTCTTTGGTGCAGACAGAACTGGAGTGCCAAGCTCAGCTTCTCACTTCTCGACGTTCCAACCACTATACCTCCATCCTCCAAGATGGGGTCCATAACTGTGCCTGTCGGCGAAGGCGTACGAATTTGGTCTGTGAATCAGTGAGAAGGCACAGGAAGCCTGGTAGCCCGAGGTCAGGCTCACCAAGGGTTCCTCTGGAATCCTTCACATAGGAGCTGCGTGACAGGAAGTACACCCACAGCAGTGCACACAGCCTTCAGGTTCTTGGCATGGGCGGGTCCTCTAGGATATGAGGGCCAGCATGGCCAGGGGGTGGCACAACCGGAACGGTCCAAGCAGCTGGGGCGATTGGTATCGCTGGCACTGCCGGACTCGAAGGCCCCGGGTCGTGATCGGGGTCCTCAAAGGAAAGCAAGACATCAGCCAAAGATAAATGGACCTAAGGACATAGACAACATGGACAACAGAGCATCGAGCATTAGAAGAGGCACGGCCAAAAACTTGTAGAGGCCAGACGTGCGTCAGCAGCATCAGAGGCAGTCATCCCCTCAAAAAAGAAGTGCTGCCGCAGAGCAGCCAGGCCGATGGTAAGGGCCCCATTCTTACCCTGACCCCCCCCGAAGTCCCACGAGCCCTCCAGGATGCCATAAAAGAAGTTTGCGCTAACGAACGAAAGTCTCTTACGAGGAACTTTAAGGGACTTCCGAATGAAAACCTAAGGCGACGGTGCACACTGACTTTGCCCCCTTGCCCGTCTGGAGATGTGAAGATGATAGAGGTCAAGACACGGAGGCGTCTTGTGATGAAGACAGCCACGCAACCACGACTCTGCCAAAGCTGAGCACAAAGGGCCCATGCAGACAGCTTCTGGCCTTCACCTCGTGACGGGAGATGATTCGTCTGATCCTGGCTTGTGCATCACAAGCTGGACCTCAGAAGCTGAAGGTGGCGCTTGCATGCTTTCGCGGGCGCACTGCAACACGAGGCAGGCCGGTGGCGCAAAGCCAGTCGTACTTCGCAATTGTCATGTCTGAGGTCGGGGCCGAAATCTACGTCTTTTGGGGTCACTGGAGGTGTGGGCCTGCGGAAAGGTACCTAGGCAAGGAGAAGCGTGAGTTATGTACGATGTAGCTATCGTGGTCGAGGCAGATGCTGAGCTTACGGCCCCTCGCCCCACCTCGTTCTTCTTCATGGGCGTGGTTGGGCGCGACACTGTCCTGGCAGCTTCGGATGGGATGGAAAGATCACGTGAACGATCTGAAGACATGACAGGCATGCCGCTGGCCAATCCCAATGGGGGACGGGTCCCGCGATCGCAGCACCTCAAGAAGGAAGCCCACTGAAGCAGATGCGAGTAACTCACATGGAGAACGCTTCGCACCTCCCTTTTATCCAGAGTTTGTCAAGCATGGCAGTGGAAAGAGCTGTTGCGGTGCAAAGCGGTGAAAGATGGCACAAGCGACTCCTCGAGGATCTCTTGACCCGACGCCCAAAATGACAGCACATGGGGGGGCACGCTCCACGTTCTCCAGGTCCTTGCTCCCCACAACATGGCCAGAAGCTCGGTGTCCACATTGAGTCAGAGCTAGCCGCCGCTAGCCCACCGGTGCTTGCAGTCGCATGAGCATGTGTACAAGCTGAAGCGAGGGGCCTAGTTGATCCAAACTGAACAGCTCTGGGTGAAGGACCGAGGCGCTGCCTTCCCCGCTCAGATCCTCCTCTTCCAAGGAGCAGCAGACAATGTTGCTGTTCGCAATCGCCCAGCCCCAGTCCGCACGCCTTATGACCCTCGCCTGTGGGAACTTGCCCAGCTCTACACGCCGGCCATCGTCGCTCAGCTGCCAAGCATAGGTCAAGCCATTCGGGTGCCCAGCGACGTGCCCTGAGATCTCAAAGCGGAAGGTCGTAGATGCTCTCACTTGGGGGTGAAGTCGAAAAGTAAAGTCCCAGACAAGACTGGTCAGCTCCTCGCGCGTGATGCAGGCTCGCGAGCCGTCCTCCACATGATGCCTGTACTGTTCCTTCCAGCTGCGTCCTCTGGACTGAAGCTTCGAGAGGCGCGCAGCTGTCAGATGAAAGCTGCAGGCTTTGGTAGACCAACAGCGCCTGCAATGCTCGAGCCAAAGCATGTCATGACAAGCTGCGGCATTCCAGGAGGCTGACACAGCTGCGTTGACGCCAAGGTCCTTTACATCCAGGAAAGACAAGGCGTGGATGAAATCATCGGTTTGCGGAAACACGGTATGAGACATTGGGAAGATCCATCGTCTACCTTGAGCCTGTGCAGCACACCAGATCATGGGTCATGCCAACGTTCACTGCTAGGAATTATGATGCTCAGTTTGTGCTCTTGGGAACGAATGCCTAACATGTTCATTCATGATTTTGATTGGCCTGTCAACAAGGCCTTCAAGGGCCATCCCTCCCCCCCCTCCGAATCTAAAGCGTCATCATCCAGCGTATTCAAATGAGTACAAAGGACGGAACCCATCCAGATCGGCCCCCCCACTCCCTCGCGCAAAGCACTCGCGATTTTTGACAACTTTGGGCAGAACCTGCCGCATGCAATTGTATCAACTGTATCGAAGATGAAGGTAAGTGATGAGTCCTATGTGTCCACAGCTGCTAATGATCTGCTAATGCTTTCGTGACTTCCGTAGATTCCTAAGGCTCAAACAATCCATTGCTGTGGGGGGTCCTGTTCACTGCCCCAGTGGACAATGGATTCATTTGCCAACGCTGCGCAGAATGCAAAACTTGTTGTGTGGATCTCTTTGACTTTCCGAAGTTGGTCTCGCACTGCCGAGCTGTCGCCACCAGTGTCTCGATTGCCCCAAGTGACGCCTGACCCGTCATCCAAAATCGCAGCAAACGCCGACTCTGTTCCACAGATCTGTTTCACATTGCGGAGCCGTCCTTGGACTCTACTACTGTCACCACCCGCGAATCGATCATGTCAGGTCACAACTGACCCATCGGACAGGATCGCAGCGAATGCAGTCTGCGATGCTTCAATGTGCTTGACGTTCTGCAATTCATTCTGAACTGCGGAGCTATCGCCGCCTCCTTGTGGACCCCCCAAGTAACAACTGAACCATCCTCAAGAATGGCCGCAAATGCAAAATATGCTGCCTGGATTTGCTGCACATTCCTAAGCTGACCTTGGACTGCAGAGCTGTCACCAGCATCACGTGGACAGCCCCAGGTAACCACTGATCTGTCCGCAAGGATGGCGGCGAAGGCTGTTTTTGCAGCCTTGATTTGCCTCACATTCTTGAGCTGACCTTGAACTGCGGAGCTGTCTCCACCTGCGCTTGGGTCGCCCCAAGTAACAACAGTTTCATTGGCAAGAAGGGCAGCAAATGCGTCAGCTGCGGCGTGAATCTCTTGCACACTCCTGAGCTGATCTTGGACGGTCTCCACATGTGGGTTCCCCCCACGTAACCACTGATCCATCCGAGCGGATCGCAGCAAAGGACTCAAGTGTGACCTCAACATGATGTACTTCTGTTAGCTGGTCTCGGACATCAGAGCTGTCGCCGCCCGACTCTTGATCGCCCCAAGCAACTACTGAGCCATCTCCATGGACGGCAGCAAAAACACCTGCTGTAGCGCCAACCTCTTGCACATCTCTCAGCTGATTCTCGACTGCTGTGCGGTCTCCACCCGCGCTTGGGTCGCCCCATGTGGAAACAGCGTCGTCTCCACAGCACCACGTGGCGAACGCTGCGTCTGTTGCTGCTACCTTTGGATGCTGTGCAATGGCAGTCAGAAAGTCTCCCTGTCGTACTCCTGCATCTTCCAGAGATTCTGCAAGATTTCTCAAGACGCGCCCAGATGAAGCAACAAGCTTTAGAGATCCTTGCTCGAAGGATTCTTGGGCCAGAACCTTCAAGTCCCCCGTGCTGGAGGACCGCGTAATCGAAAGAGCTTTCCTTTTCCCACTTGGCAAGGCCACGCAGACTTGAAGCATCTGTTGAAAGCCACGCTTTCGGTCCCTAAATCGCAATCATCTGGAACCAAATTGGTAGTTAAGACCTGACGCCACGGTCAATTCGCATCAGAAGGAATCAGAACATATCAGAACATGACGGACACCCGATCGCTGTCGGCGCACTTCGCAAACATGAAGACAAGTTCTCAAGCAACGACGACACGCATGCAGGGATCGACCCCAACATGCCGGATCGCTGCAACTGTGACTCTTGAGGACTGACAAGCAAGTGCACGTCAACATGCTACTGTGTACGTCCGCGAAATACAAGCAAAGAACATCAAAGTTCTAACAGGAGCAGCTGGGGAAGTCGATTCCTCATTAATGGAGCGCAGGGCTTAGGGCTTAGGGAAACCCGCATGCCTCGAGGGATATCCTTTATATGCCCGGGCGAGTCTCTGAGCAAGGCCCCCAACGCCCCTCGAATCCGCGCTCCTCCTTATTTTTGTACGTCGTTGTTACACACCACTTCGCAGTGAAGTGCGTTTCACTTTCCCCCGATGACTGCTCCGATACAGAACACAGGCTTTTGACAGGGGAGCCGCAATCACCGACTGAACATACTTCGCGCTTTACCAAGCCAACCTTCTTCATCTCTTTACGGCTACCGATCATGTAACATAGAACTGAAGCTGCAGGCCAACAGATGCCAAGAGATGGGCAGCAGTAAAGAGAAGCTGAGTAGCCGGCTGGTTTCGCATCGACCCTCTCGAAGTAAGTGGGCGCTATAGGAATTGGTGCAATGTCCACCTCGGTCTATGCAGTCTACCCAGTACGCGCTCCGGACCGGGGCTGTATGGCTGATCTTGCTATGGCTCCAGCATCTTGTGGAGAGTCAGCACACAAAGGGCTGTTGTCTCTTTCCTGGAAGCAACTTCGGAGCGCTCACAAAACCTCTGTTGAAACTGTTCCTTATGCTTACGCTCGGAACCCCATACACCCTAAACCTTGAGCAGCAATCCATTCCAGACCCGGCCCTGGCCTGAGATGGACCTTCAGCCGTGTCCTTAGCAGTCGGGAAGCATGAACATGCCAAAAGGGTGCACACATTCTCGACGCGCCGCCGTGCCCGCAAAAAGTGGACGACAAGGCCCCCACTAAAGAATCCCAGTCCTGGATGTGCACTTCGCAAGATCATCGAGGCTTTGCGGGCATCGCACAATCGTGGTCATGCTCACGCCCAGCACGTCTCACTAGCACCATGGATGAGGTTTCGGGGGATGTCGGGTCCTCGTCGTCAGGTTCGAGGCTTGAGCAGCTTGGAAGCTCGTCGTCAACGAGCCCAAAATGCCTGGACACACTTTCACAAGAAGCTCCGTGATGGCATTGTGATTCATGAGACGCGATTGACAAACCCACTTCACCAAGCACACAACCGAGCGCGTGGCACTGGCAATACTGTGGGCATTCGGGGCTGCCCCTAGCCCTCTATCCCAATGACGATTGAGCCACATGCTACAGAAAACAGGAAACATCGAAGCGACTTGGCGCTGGTGACACAAGTAGAACGCCCAGCTTCAGAGTGCTTGAGGGTTGTGAAAGTGTTGCATCTGGCAGCCAATCTCAGGGCCTCAGCCGCTGTCGTTTGCCCCACGCCTTAGAAAACGGAAAGAAGAGGAAACTTCAAACATCGAGATGCCCCCCCTCCCCCCCCTAAGAGGTTTCCTGGATATCCCCTGGATCCCCTCTGGGCACCTGGCTGGTGCTTTGAGGGGTGAGAAGACTGCCCAAGGCTGGCTCGGATGGCACTGCAGGCAGGTAGCCTTTCAAACTCTTCATGTCATGTTTGTGTTGTCTATAGCTGCTTCAATGCTACCAGGTCATGCAAGAGATGCAGCTATTCAGACGGGAGCTCCATTCCGATTCTGATCTCAGGGCCTGGATATCGCCTGGGGTAATCGAAACCTCAGGCATGTGGGAGTTGCGGATCACAAAGCTCACATCGTGCCACGCTCGCTTGTCCTCTCAAGACTTGCCTTGCAGCGCGCCCTTGTTGAGCTTCTCTGCCTCGGCCGAGACGTATCGTACAACTTCCTGGAACTTCGTGCTTGTCACTGCTAGAACAGGATGTAGAGGACCGCTAAGATCATCGTCTCATATCTCACCGCCAGCAACAAGGCCGCTACCGAATTTACCACTCGACAGCTACCACCACCACGGCCACCAGCCCCACAAACCAGAGCAGCCATTGATGCACACAGCATTCCAAAGGTGGAGCAGAGCGACAGATTCACCCATACTGGCACCAAGCCTGCAAGCCAAACATGCAACATGCATTGGCCCATGCCACCCTCAAGTCAGGATATATGTATACATATACATATATATATGTATATATGTATGTTCATATGTACACCATCATGGTCGTGCTACAAACTGCAGGACGACCTTGCTGCAATCTCCGCGGCTTGTGCTGCTGCAAGTGCCTGAGCACAGCTTATCCAAGAGAGAGAGAGAGAGGGAGCGGGAGCGAGAGCGAGAGCGAGAGCGAAAAAGGGAGACAGAAGCTAAACTGTGGCGAGCATCTACACGTTGGTCCCAAACTTGGAGAGCGCAACCGACGAAGCCTCTCAGAGCCAACCTGAGAGCCCAACTGCAGCAGGCGCTCCACCAGCTCCTCGGAGAATCTGTGACATGCGAGGAACATCGCAGCTCATCCGCAATGCTTTCTTAAAGGCCACCTCGTGTAGAGTGAAATATCCTGGGGCGCGCCCCGATATTCCGCAGGGTCTTTCAGAAGTAGAACCGGCATTGAGTCATGAGGTAAGCTGTCGACGCAGCGTGAAAGGCGTCATGGCACGGAGTCAACTACATGCTGATTCACCCACTATTCACACAGCAAGCCGATGACGAGAAGGATGCATACCCTTAAGTATGTTCCATCGCCAGTCAGTGAATTGCAAAGGTTGCTCTGACACTCCTCAACAAGAGTAAGGTTCTTTGGCCACCAAACTACATTTTTTGCCATGCGACACCCACGTTCTCTCGTGTGCCATGGGACCATACGGCAGCACTGAAAAACACAATGTCGCAGCAACGCCATCAACTTTCGATTCAGTCTTGCAGTGTCTCTCTCTCTAAACGAAAAAAGGGCTTTCACGCTTCTGAGAAGACAAGCCTAGCCTCACGTGGCCTAGGCAGGCAATTCAACAGAAGGTTTCCTTGCTGACATCAGAGCAACCTGAGAGGTGTCAAAGGCGTCACCCCCAAAGAGATGCGATACAAGCTGCGTGAACTCACTACTCCACTACAGGAAGCCTTACGCCTTGCACATGCCCCAAACTCAGCCCACTCCCCAACCGGCCGCGGGGCATGAAAGTTAGCTGATGCTTGTTGTTCCAAGTCCTTCGTAGCAGCAGGCTTGCAGCAGCTAACCTGTCACTTCCATCTTAGCATAGCACCTCTTCCGCATCTGCCAACCGACCCCCATGTAAACTTCGACTCAGTTTTGCAGTTTGGAGATGGATCGTTTGGAACTCGGCCCACTAGGCATGCCACAAACACCCGAAGCGAGCAATCGTGAACACCCCTGATACGCAAACTGAGGCAAACTAAGCACAGGTTTCAAACAATAACTCGCAACCACTTTGCGTCGATTTCTGCACAGAGGTAGATTGGCGGCTGTCGGTTCACCTCTGGCAGTCGCTTTGCACCTGCCAGAAATGCTGCTTCACAGCAATGGCTACGCTTGCAAAAGCGCGAGCAGAGGCACGGAAAGCATGGGCAACAGAAGAGCTGAGCCGCTGGTCTCCATCACCTGGGTGGTGGTGGTTGTTGTTGGGTCGGTACAAGGTTCCCACAAAGTTTGCCCGGTCCGCCAAGGATCCGCCATGGCATTGACATCATCACATCGGATGCCCAAACAAGAATACGTGGATTCCACAGCCTCCAGTACAACATCAAAGCCATCGGGCACGTGTGCCCCTGCAGGCCCCAGACCGATGTTGCCAAGGTTGCGTTCCAGTGTCTGGGCCACGGAAGCATTGCACGCATCGATCGCTGGCAGAACGGCCCTGGTGAAGGCCCAGCCTTCGACAACCTCGATAAACCCATCGGCTCCACCCGTAACATTTCTCCTGCCGGGGTCGGATTCGAAAGCCTCACGCAACATCCCTTGAATGACAGGCACGCGGGTCAAGGAGATGATGCGACTTGCCGGGGTGTTCGTGCCACTCAAAGATGAACAGTCTCCACTCTGAACAAGACTTTGCATCATCTTGAAAGTCTCCAGGAGACGCACATTGACGCGGCTCTGGCCAGCTGAATGGTCCTCATGGATGGCGGCCTCTGTGAGAAACTGAGGCGCGCGCTTCTCAGCCAAACGAATTGGGCCATCTGAAAGAGAGCCGGAATAGAGCGCCCATGCCTCATCCAAGAACCGGAGAGATGTTTGTGTGTTTGAGCACGTGTCCGCACTGGCTTGCACTCTGGCTTGTACAGCCATCAGTACACCTTCGAGGACCATGCTTTTCATGATGAGCTCCTTGCGCGCGTCGTCGTCCAGCGTCCAACTGTGCGCTGTGGCATCAGACAGGATTGGACCGACGAATGAATGCATGTAGTCCTGGGAGAACCAATGTGACACATGGGTTGAAAAAGGCTCAGTGGTGCAAGCAGGTAGCTGAGGCTGCCCACAGTTCAAGATGTACCGCAGGGACAATCCCGAACCGACGGTGGATTCATACTCCAAAGTGGCATTTGTGTAATTTGCAGAACTCCCCAACGCCGCGTTGACCTTTTCGATTTGCAAGCCAATGTCCAAAAGTGCGGACACGGAACTCTGATACGAGTACAGCTGAGAATCCACACCACCGACCAACAGACAAAGGGTGGCGAAGAGCTTCATGGCCCAGATAATGTGTCGGTTAAAAGTATATCTCAACGTGTGTAAACAACATCAAGCTTGAGCAAGTTCCTGTCCACAGCACGTTGATCTGGTGATCGCCAAGCAGAGCAGATGTTGATCTGCCGTTCATGTTGGATTTACATCAGCCCTTGAACAGGGATAGGTAGTGTTGTCTGTACCCTTAATTTCATGATACAAGAGAAGTCAACCACCCTGCACATACGTTCCGCTAACGTTGCAATGACTTCGCGAAGCCCTAAACATCATTCCCAAACCCTCAATGCCAAAGAGCTATAAGGACGCATGAAAACCAAACGAAGCAAGGGGCCATGAAGAATACTCATTAAAACGAGCTAAATATGAGGGCCTTTGATTGGTATTCTTGATGGCACCTTTCCTCGCTTGGTTGTCATGCATCCTTTCACCCCTTTCAAACCAACCTCATGAAGACAACTTACGACATCTCCCTCGATTACCAGGATGCTTTGTTACCGTTAGAATAAATTTATCAATAAAAACGCAAGGAAACGCAGGGGTTTTTTGCTAGTATAATTTGGGCTTTTGATGGGCTAGTTCGCGAGCATGATATTATTCTATTTCTCTCGCTAGTTCACCCGTATATTTACTTCGTTCTCTCTCTACTAATATTAGCCGTGCTTTCATTACGTTAATATAAATATAGTGTATGAACGAGCACGTGTTCACGCATTCATCATATTCGTGCTGTTACTAGTATATGTATGCAGACTTGTAACATTATTATGGGCCCTTGACACACTATTAGTATCTTTCTTTGGGGTGTTCATTGCGCTCTCTCCTTTCGCTTACTCACTAGTTGTCAACATGCCTGAACCCCAAACCCTGATTTCTGCACTCTCTTGGGCATGCCCCCTCCACTTTCGGAAACCCCCTAAAATGCCGGTACATTTTGCCGTTCGCTCAACCAGTCGCTCTGCACGTCGCTTCGTGCGGTGACCTGGGGCCCAAGGGCCGCAAGACGGCACGAAATTTGCCGACGTGCGTTAACCGAGTAAGAGAAAGGAGGCCAGTCCATCTTTCATGCCTTAGGGATTGTTCAGGGCTAAGGGCTTCTCAACAAAAGTAAGCGAGCCCATGTGTAGACGACTCCGATCCTGGGGTTGAGATGCTTTAGACCCGGCTTTAGGGTTTTTTGGGGGCTCAGGGAACATTGAGGACTGGGTGAGGCGAGCTCCCTGAGACAAGGAAGGCCCCTGAGACTTGAAACGTCCGTAGCTCATTGAGCCAATCTTCAGTAGTCGCCTCTCTCGTTTTTACCATACCCGCCGGAGTTGTGCTCTTCAACCAGGTCCATCAACTGCCCGGAGCTCGTAATCGTGTCCTGGCGGGCTTTGGGGTGGGGTTAGGGTTTGGGGCTTGGGGGCTTGCAGTTTAGGGGTTTGCGGGTTTTGGTTCTTTCGGAGAGGGCTTAGGGCTTCGCGCTTTGGATGGCAAAACTAACTGGAGGGCTCAAGGAGTTTAAGGGGGGCCCCGGTTTGAGGGCCAGGGGAACTTAGTGAGCAGGTGGCAAGCCAGGTTTCATGTTTGCGGGGTAACCCAAGTGAACGTACATTGTAAAACTGCTACGTCCGAACACTCGTTCCTCCTTCGGCAGATCGATGCCGAAAGCCTGGTCCAGTGCCATCCTCGGGGGGCGATGTCTCCTACCCCAGACATGAAGTGCCACCCCTAAGAAGCGTGCATGCGCATGGGGGATGGGGGAGCCCCAGGGGTCTGCTACAAGATCCAACGTTCAAGGCTGGAGAGCAGCGGGCTGAGGCAACTGGGGCTGCTATAACCCTGAGAGCCCCCAAAGCCCCAAAATGACAAAAAGCCGGCAGAAGCCGGGGCTTCGGATTGGGGCCTGAAGGTTGTAGGGAATGGGCATCGTTAAAGGCCCTGGGGACGCGTGGAAACCCAATGCCCAAACCTCTACCATCTCTAACTTCCAACCCGTAACCCTGAAAACCCCACTTATCTCGAAGCTAAGCTTGGCGACAGGACTTCAGATTGGTCATGGGCACCAAGTGATTCGAGAGTGGCCTGCGGATGACGCACGGGGGTCGAGGGACCGGGAACGCCCTTGAAGCGAAACCGCATGCAATGATTGGCGGCCGCAGAGGACCACGCAAAAGCACATACATTGCAGGGAAATCTGTGATGTTAGCTTCGGCTCAGATTTTGAACTGCTGTTTGCTTTGGGTGCGGATTCTTGTTTACAAAGAATCAAGTTACATGTTTGCTTTCGGCTTGGCTTATTGATTGCAATGTTTACTTCCCATGCTCAAGCAGGAGAAAGTTTTTTTATGTTGGATTGGATGGTTGTTTCCGGGCGTTTCTGACAGGACAGAACTAATTGTGTTACTTTGGGCTTGGGTTTTGGTTTATCAGTGCTTGTGAGGGCAGAGTGATTTTTTGTTTTGGGCTTGGACTTCTGTTTAAGGGTTTTGTGAGGGCAGAACATAATGCTAAAGGCTCTATAGGCCCTTCAGACCCTACAGACCCAACAAACCCTCGACACCCTATAGTAATAGATCCTCAACTCGCAGAGTGAAGGGGGCCTTCCGGGTGACCTTCTCTTTGCTCACGCCGAGCTGCCCCGCGATGACATCGGCAACCTCCCAGCAGACTCGGGGCTCTCAGAAGTTTCAATACACCAGTTTGTGCTAGAAGTTACACCATTGCGGGAGGCCCTTCAACACCCAAGCACATTGCCGAAGTTCTGTGTTTTCTCACCTTTGGGGCCCCTGGCGCTTCGTGGCTTTAAAGGGTCTTTTCAGGCCCTGGAACTTCAGCTTCCAGGCACCTCCAGAAGCCTTCAGGATTTTGTTTCTCAGGTGGTACTTTCGATCCCAACACCTTATACAAGGGACAAAAGTACTACACTGAAGCAGCCGTTTGCAGGGCAGCTCCAAACAGGGGATTTGCATGTCACCGTGATGACCACGACCCCAAAACCTGCAGTGGCAAGCCCTTGGTCGGACAACGGCGGCACTTTTGGAACAAAACGAAAGGCGGCCGCCTAGGCGTAAGTCAATCAAGCTGTCTTGAGTCTGGACTGAAGGACTGTTAAGGCTTCATTGGGTCGACATGCAGCTTGGGAACGCAAGCAAGAAGCGCAAACCGCAGAAACCCCAAAGCCCAGAACGCAAAGCCCAGCGCAAAGGCCAAAAAATGGACCGATCAAGTAAGTCCCACAACGAGAGGTCCTCACCGCCAACTTCCCTCCACCTTCTTTCAAGAAGTCAAACCATGCCCTCCCCCCGACATGTAGTTTGGGGGGTGTACGTTCTTTGCTCTGCGCCTGGTCCATGGTGTCCTCAGAGGCCTGGCAAGGGGGACTGGGGTTTCGCGCGTTTAGGACATAGGGCCCTGAGGGCCATCGGGTTTAAGGCAGTTTAAGGGCCTTGTGGCTTGTAGGGTTCGGGCCAGCTTGGAGGCGTCAAAATTTGAGTTTCGAGTTTTGTGGTGTATCGGTGCCACGTCTTCCGACACATCACCCTCGAAAACGTCGTCGCAAACGCACCGTACGTGGGAAAGTAAGGTTTTTTTGAGAGTGCTAGCAAGAGCTACGAACGAGGCCGCGCATTCCAACATAGTGTCAGCAAGATGCTGCAGCACATATTCGGCATATTCTCAAACAACTGTGCTCATCCCTTCACCGCACCCATCAAATATCTCCCATCCTCCGCAGAACCCGAAAGTTTAAGCCACGAAAACCTGCAAAATCTTCCGCTAGCCGACGAGGCCGCCGCAACAGCCACAAAATCAACAAAACGATAGTGAATGAAATCGCATCAATGCATAAAACGTCCCAATCCCCAAAGCCGGCGCCTGAATCTTGCCTCCCGTTGTGGCACTCCTTGGCGCAACTATGGAGGATGAGGGCGGGATCCCCAAATCCTCTGACTTTCTCAAAGCTTTTCTCTTGAAGTTCACGTGTTACGGGGCTCTGCTGGCTCTGATTTCAGGAGAACGTCCTGCACGTCCACCCCAGGGAGTAACCCCAACACCTGGCTTAGGGATGGCAGAAGCCGGGGGCAAGCCTGAGCCAGGCCGAGCCCTTGACAGGCTTTAGTAGCACTCTGCAGGCTATGTAAGGGTTTAGGGTTTAGGGTTTAGGGGGTTTCGGGTTAACGGTTAAGGGTTTAGGGTTTAAGGGTAGAGGGTTGGAGGTCTGACAGTTTCGGCTTCAGGCTTTAGGGCTTTCGCGCTTGGGGGCTACTTGAACGAACACCGAAGCCGAGAAGTTGGGCGAAGCTTTCTGCAGGCCTCTCAAGGGCTGGGCACTCCAGGGGTACTCGGCAGGAAACTCTGTGCGCTTCTCTGGCTCTGGGCACTCCAAGAATACTCGTTGTGGGACACCAGGTGAGGAGGCCAGGAGGCGAGAGGAGCATCGAATCTAACAACCCAAATAATAAATGCACAAATTCCATACACAGAAGCAAATTGTTACAGTTATGTATTGTCCCTAAGAATACTACACTGAAAGAAAGATGAAACGCCCAAAACCCAAAAGCCACCAACCCCTCAACAACAACCCATGAAGCCTCAAGCAGAACTATGAGAATCGAAACACCCCCAAGAACAAAAAACACAAACCGCAACGCTTTTCAAGCCCTCTTGGTCGGGCCAGGCGTCGAGGAAAATACGGCGCCCGAAGAGTGGGTGGCTTGTCCGGTCTTGTAAGGGGCTTTGAGATTTGAGGGCTTTGGGGATTGCAGAGTGTCTGCTTGCTTGTTTGTTCTACTTTTTTTGGGGGGGTTGTGTTGAAGAGTTTCTGGAGGGATGCGCTGTGGGAGGGGCTGAAAGCTCAAAACGAAGGCCAATTTGAAGGAGCACTGGCGCGGCACCTTGAAGCCCACGGCGAAAACACCAAGGAGCACCAGAACGGCGCCAAGGATGTACCTTTGGACTCTGGAACGCTTGGAAACCCTAAATCTTTTCAATTTCAGCCCTAAACCAGCAAGTGTCGGGAACAGTATCGTTTAAACCTGGAGAAACATCAACCATGACGCCTTTTGCGGTTTTCGGATCCTGGCCCCTTGAATGCGGAACCATAATAGCCATACAGGTGGCATTCGTCCCTGCAGGTCCTTGCAAACCCATCAACTCGGTCAAGGCACCACTTGCGGGAGATTCTCGATGGCTCCTTTGGAGGCTTGCGGGGGGGTTCAGGTTTGGCGTTTGGGTCTAAATGTCGGTTTATAGGGTCTTCCGGAGTTTTGGACCTAAACCTAGATCGCAGACGCAAAACGATTCGGGAGGGGGCTCCACAAGGCTTTGAGGATTAGAGGTTGACGGTGACAGTGCGAAGTCCGCCCGAAAACTTTGCACGTCCGGCACAAAGGCCACACACCCCAGCCTACCCCTCCAGCCCTGCATCCTTAACCCTGAACTTTTCACTGCGAGCCTGGCTCTTGTCCATCAGACTCTCACAGTCACTGACATCGCGAGAGGTCGGGATCCTTAGTTTTTTGGTTTTTGGTGCACTTGTTTGGGTTTTGGGCATACGATCTTGAGACTAGCCACCGTAGGCTCCAAGGCTTGAGTACTCAGGGCCTATGTGTATGTTTTCTTTTGTTATATGTCCTGCATATATATATATATCTGTAACATGTATTCATATAAGCTTTCTTGTGTCTGGCACATCCCGCGCCTTTCAGGATTAGGAAAAAGAATGAACCATGCACCTGCTGCGCCCAGCCGAGTTGCATCTCTCGATCGAACTACCAAGATTCCTGGCACTTTCCCGACACGATGCTAATTGCACCAGCTTCGAGCAAGCACCGGTGATGACAGATTGGCATTGTCAGAAACAGGCATCTTCAAGAACGCAAGCCACAAAAAGCAGCGTTCGGCGTCGTCTTTCTCTTTCTGGGTACGGGGGTTTCCTGGTTAGGTGTATCTCAATTCCCAAACATATATAAAATCCAAAAGGAGAAAACTCATCTCAATCTAGAACCCAATCGGAATATCTCATCTTAAAAATCTCCTACCAACTCCCGATGGGAATAACTCATGCATATTCCACCCAGTTGGATCCTTCCTTTTTCTCATACAGCATCAGGGGTATCGCGAGGGCCACGTGCAGTCTCAAAAAGTCTCCCGGCCGCCACTGCGGCCTTCAAGTGAGCCCCACAACCCCCAACCCCATCACAGGGAGGGAGGGAGGGCAAAAAAATTTTCCTTCCCCTAGCTCAACACGGTTTGAGACTGCACGGGTCCAAGATCAAGCAAAAAGTCTTTCATGCCCAGAAACTCTCCATGTACATCTTGAGGAAAATCTTCCCACAAAACAAAAGTATCTCATGCATACATAAGACATAATACAATCGAGTCAGCTTGGCTGCCTGTCTGCGTCTGAGATGAAATACTGGCAACATCCCAGTCAACCATTAAAAGGGGGGTACCTACTGCAAGGCTCCCCGTAGCGGCATCATGAGCATCAGAAAACCCGCCCGGCACCTCCCGGGCTTCCCGCACCCAAGGGAAAGAGAGTCTTGTCGGCAAGCCGAAAACGCCCAACTTTATGAGATGTACAAAATTACACCAGCGAAGACCCCAAACAGTTTCGGCCCGACAATACAGAGAAAGAAGATCTTTATGAAAAGGATGGGGAAGGGGGCAAGTAAATCTCGTGAGACAGGAAGAATTCGCGAGGCCTTCGGTGGTGCGGGGTTGAAACTTTAAGGTGTAGCGTTGAAGGCTGAAGGCAAAGCTTGGCATCTCCGTAGGCATGATTGTACAGGCATGAGCAAGCAGGCATGAGCATGCAATAGCCTACAGGCCTGCATGCAGACAAGATGAGCATGCAGGCATGAGCACGCAGGCGTGAGCACGCAGGCATGAGCATGCAGGCCTTAGCGACATGAGCATGTAGGCATGAGCATGCAGGCGTGAGCATGTACGCATGAGCACGCAGGCATGAGCATGCAGGCATGAGCATGCAGGCATGAGCATGCAGGCCTTAGCGACATGAGCATGTAGGCATGAGCACGCAGGCGTGAGCATGTACGCATGAGCACGCAGGCATGAGCATGCAGGCGAACTCCCAGCATGCCCTTGGGGAAAAATGGAGATGTGGCTTGCAGAGCATTTGATGCCCATGAAATCCCATGATGCACGATTCTCACAGCCCATGATGCCCATGAGAAAAGTGTGTTCTTTATGGCTTGCTGCTGTCAAAAAAATTCCTCCAAATTTTTTAGTTTAAATGTATCAAAAAAACTTAACACCACAACCAAGCAACGCACAACCAGACAACGCACAACCACTCGTGCACGACGTCGTTCCGGCTTTTCGTGCGGGAAGGGGGACATGGGAGGGGCGAACTCCCAGCATGCCTTTGGGGAAAACTGGAGATGTGGCCTGCACAGCATTTGATGCCCATGATATCCCATGATGACACACGATGCTCACAGCCCATGATGCTCGTGAGGAAAGTGTGTTCTTTATGGCTTGCACCCGTCAACCCGGCACAGGCATCCAACACCAAGGGAGACAAAGGGAGACAAGTGGAGGGCACAGGCATCCCGCCAACCCGGCACAGGCATCCAATACGAAGGGAGACAAAGGGAGACAAGCAGAGACCCCGGCCACCGCAAACCCGGCACAGGCATCCAACACGAAGGGAGACAAAGGGAGACAAGTGGAGGCACCGGCCACCGGGTTGGCCGGCACAGGCATCCAACACCAAGGGAGACAAAGGGAGACAAGTGGAGGGCACAGGCACCCAATAGGAGGGAGACAAAGGGAACAAGTGGAGGCACCAGTTAGCGCCAACCCGACACAGGCATCCAACACCAAGGGAGACAAAGGGAGACAAGTGGAGGGCACAGGCATCCAACACGAAGGGAGACAAAAGGAGACAAGTGGAGGCACCGGCCACCGCCAATCCGGCACAGGCATCCAACACCAAGCGAGACAA